TTGCCTAAACTACCCAAAAAAGATCTTAAACAAGAAATCAAAAGCGAACCGCAATACTTCAAAAATAATTAGCTCGAGGATAGTTAAACAATAAATAATTATACAGTTAGATCAGTAGTATTACATGAAGTAACTATTTCAATTCTATATTTAGGAAACTGACTATATAGAAGTGGATTGGAATGCATTCCAACTTATCTCTTTTGAATGAATCCAACACTTTGATGAGTAAATAATGACAAATAAACATATATTTTTAAAGTCTAATGTCTTTTTCCCCCCTCTTTATTTGTCTTATACATAAATCTCTTCATATCTCCAATATATCTCTTTGTTTCTAAAAACTATGCTTCATTTCATCATCAATGAGAACTTACATTAATTAACTCAACCTTATATTTTAATTCAATACCCTGACAATTCTTTCTCTAATAATATTAACAACACACTTATATATGTATAAACATGTACAAATAACCTATTGTATATAAACTAATTGATTGATTTGAGTACTCCATACTTATAATTCAAATTAACATAGTAGATGTTGAAACACAGAATCACTCTTTGTAAATGTGTATACACATATCATCATCAATCATCTTTTAATATAGATCAATTATGAAAAAAAAGTTGTAATATTTTTTTTTTATTGATTTGATAGTTTAATTGCCAGTAACTCATAAATAAACTTATTTTTAATTATTTTAGGTGCTTTAATTCATTATAATATATTTTTATGTGTTTTAAATTTCAATCCATTTGATAATAATATTAAATAGAAATCATAAAATAATAATAAGAGAAACACTTTTTGATGAAATTGTTATATTATGATATTTATATTTATCACACAGATAAAAAATAAGGTTTTCTTGTTTTTATTCTTTCTAACAAAATTTACTCATAACCTTCTGGTTTACTTGTACCAACTCTAGGAAGAGCTAAAAGGGTTGTTCCATATAGTTAAACTTTTGGAAATCCTTCAAATATATTGAACTTCAAATATGGTGATAGTGCTTGAAGGATTGCATAAATTGGAACATATGCAAAATCTGCTAGAGTTAATTCATCACTGTATATAAATTTGGTCTATTTTAACCAATTTTCTAGTTTATCAAAATACCATTTCAATTCTATCAATCCATTATTAAAAGCCTATATTATAGGTAATAAAATACTTCTTCTGTAGATGCTGCTGTCAATCCTAAAATGACTCCTATGATATCATTTGAAAATTCAGCTCTGGAACGATTTATTGCTTTTTCAAGTGGGTCATTGGGTAGTAAGGAATTAGGAACGAGTGAATTAATATATTCTAATATAACTAGGGATTCTTATATGACTTTGTCTCCTACAAATAATGTAGGAATCTTTTCTAAAGGATTAGCTTTGATAAACCATTCAGGCTTATTCATTACATCAACATCTTTCTGTTGATATGGAATTTACAAATAGTTTAAAGCTGATGTGACTCTGAGTACAAAAGGAGAGATATTGTAAGATACTAATGTTAGACTCATTATAATTAATAAATTGATTGATGAGAATTTAGATTAATAACTTATAAATATCTAAAAGAATGATCTAAATTCCAATGAGGGTGTATTAATATAAATTAGTATTAAAAAAAAATACCAGGATTTTTAGAAATATATGATTTTGATTTATATATGAAGGTATGTTAGATTTTAATGAATACTAAAATAGAAACTATACCTGTACTTTAAGAGAAATGCAAATTTCATTAAAATGAATAAGCTAATTTAATTTGTCTTACAGCTTCATGTTTAAATTAAGGATTTTTTTGTTTTCAATGTAAGAATCATCATGAAGGTCATAATGTAATTTAGGGAATAGAATTTTTTGATTCATTAAAATAATTGGTCAGTTTTGATGGTTCATAGAAATCATCAAATAATGTGAATTAAGTATCAGCAAGAATAGTAACAGCAATGTTAACAGCAATTGATGAATTAGAAGCATTAAATTAATACTTTTCTGAAATTTTAGGTTCAATTAGATTATAATTTGAGAAATATTGTTAAATATCAAATGATGTTAATGTGATAAATAACTTTTTGATTTTTTCATAAAAAGAATCAGTAGAACCCTAATAATTTAAAGATAAATTTGAGGAATGTTTGAAAAGACTTTGTCTTAAATTATAGAAATTACATATAAAATCTACAGTAACATGTTAATCTAATTCATTATTTGTACCAGATGAGAGATTATTTTAGGAATATTTGGAACCTCTAATATCAACATTGAAAGGAATCAAATTATAAGCTGAATCTAGTTTTACTAAGCCTCTTTATTATAATAAATTAGATTTGACTTTTAAAAATGGATTAATGCCATAAGTAAATTCTTTTTTTGAACCTATTATATTTGAAACAGATTAACCAAAAGAAGAAGATAAAGTATTAGAAAGATTATGGATAGATAAGAATGAAACTATGAGAAAAATGTTGATGATGAAATAGCGTACAAAGGAAGAATAAGTTATAGATGATGAACCATTCTCATATGGTAATGGAAGATTAGAGAAAGTATTTGCTGTAGCTGGATCTAAAGTTTGGTTTTTAGATTTCATTTATAGTAAATTTAAACCAACTTCTAAACATTCAAAAATTGAACCAAAATAGGCATGTGTAATATGTAAATGTCATCAGAAATTTGCTAGAATAAATGAATTTTTGAATTGTAAATATGGAGATTTATATGGACCTTATCATTTAGAGGCTAGATTGTTAGATAGTTTTAAAATGGCCTTTGATAAGAGAACTAATAAGGATTATTTGATTGATAGAGGAGGTCTTTATTTTCATGATCTTTGTGTTTATTGGTCATCATTAGTTGAATGTGATGAAAAGAAAGGAACTATAGATTTTGAATCTTTATAAGAAGCAGTTAAAATATCATAAGAGACTTATTGTTATTTATGTAAAAGGAAAGGACCTACTCTGAAATGTAATAATGAAAATTGTTAGATTTGGATTCATTATTATTGTTGGAAAGAATTGGAACCATCTTAATAATACTTGGATAATTAGAAATTTAGAATGTTATGTTATTAACATGTACCAGCTAAATATCGTAAACCAGCATGGGCTTCTTAGAATTTACTATTAGATGATCATTAATTAGAGAAAAAGGAGTCTAAAGAATTCAGATAAAGTTAGTTTGTTAAATTTACATATTAAGAATCAGGTTAGTCAAGATATATATAGAAATTAGAATAATAGGCAACTAAACAATAATCTGAAGAATGAAATATATTTAATTAATATTATATAATCAAACTTTATTTTAATATATAAGTCTTATTATTGGAAGATCATACAATAACTAATAAGAAGATTATTGAAATGATTTAGAATTAAATTCTATATGATATTTTGTTTATATAAATAATAACATGATTAAAATATAATTCAAAACTATTAATTAAACAATTAAAAAAGTTATATCAATTTATAAAAATTCTGATTTATAAAATATTTGAAATACTTATAATAAATTTATATTTCAAGATTTCTTAACTTATCTTTCTATAATTATTCTATTTAAATTAGATAATTAATATACCCATCTGATGATTGATTAGTAATTATTTATAAGAAATCTCCAGGTATAGATATCTTTAAATAATTTAATAACTTTTAGTACACAACTGTTATAAATAATCCTCCTAATATCGAAACTGGAACAACCTAAATTATAGAATGACTTACCTAACCAAATGCTTATGCATAAACTGCATCAAATTTAATGAAGTAGAATGGAATCAATAAAGAAATCAAAATTATCAAAACCAATATTCTCTAAGTCTTTTTCCAATATGATAGTTATTTATAATGTTATTTAAATTCATTCTCTAAATATATTCCTTTACTAAGTTTAATTCCAAAAACAAAACTTAGCATAAACCAAATATACAAACACATACTGAAACAAATATTTTAGAGTACTGAAGGACTATCAATAGTATAAAGTGTTGTTTGGTTATCACACTTTTCATAAACAGCCTCCATCCATAAAGTAGCTTCAGATGTAGATATAAATATATTCCTATTTAATTCTAAGAATAGAATCGATATACATGTCCAAATGAATACAATGAAACCTATTACACTTATTATTTTAATTGAAACACCCTATTATCCAACTTATAAACATTCTTTTAGATAATTAACTATTTTATCATGTAAATATTGCATGTAAATTATAGAAAAATATCCCTAATAAACCCAACCTAAAATAATTTAACCAAATGAATGAACTCCCATAAATACTCTTGAAAATCCAGTCATAAAAGTCCAAAAAGTAATTACAAAAATAACTAATAACCTTAAGTATAATGGATACTTGCAGCTATGTCTATTAATTTAATTACTTCGATTAATCTTTCCAAATAGCTGGAAATAATATAGATGGTAATAAGAAACACATTGCTTATGATGTCATTGCATGACCTGAAGGTTTTCCAAATTCTTTATTGCATTCATAAGGTTCTATCTCTTCAACAATAAAGAATGGTCTTGCTTAATGATAGATATTTTTCAATAAAGAATTAGATGCTACTGAGAATAGAATCATTCCACCATATAACAATGCTCCTAGTTTATTATCCAAAATCAGAAAAGCAATTCCTGCTATGCTTGGAAGTACATAAAGGGAATATGAGAACACTAGGAACATTTCTTTCTCACCATCAAATTAGTTTTATTGCAAATATAATGTCAATGTAGTATTAGCATCCCACATATTCTAATTGAATACAAGATCAATAGCTATGTATGATAATAATGCAATTGTAGCAATAAAAAATAGTTTCATAAATTAATTTATATTCAAATTCTCCATAAATATATATAGATGTTTATCAATTTACATAATCCTTAAAAGATAAGGGGAAAATAGAATTAATAATAAATATACAATTGGTTTTAGTAATATCTTTAGTGTGACTAATTATATTTATCATAAAATTAATGAGAAACTTGAATCATATCTCTTTATATACTTTCACTGCTAGAGCTATTCATAGTTAATTGGCAATCATAGGAGGTGGAACTGCAGGATTGAATGTTTCTGCACAATTAGTGAAAGATGGTCACTTTATTCTACAAAATGCACGCCTATTAAACAGGATGGATGTTAGTTGGTAGATAATGATGATCTAATGAAGGTGGTGGTATGTGTAAAGTTGAGTAAACAATGAAACCAATGGAAAAGGTTCTACCTAAAAATGTATGTTTGAGAGATTGTCCAGTTGTGAGAATGATCCAGAATAAAATATAATTGTAACAATGGATGGATAGAAATACACATATGATTAATTGATTGTTGCAAGTGGAGTGCAACGTGATTATGCATCCATTAAAGGTATAAATTTATTAATTATTATAGGTGCTTTGGAATAACTGAACAATCCAGAAGCACCAGTAGGAAGTATTTACTATTATAGATATGCTCAAAAGATTGATAAAATGATTAGAGAATTTGAAGGGGGTAAACTAATATTTTCAGAACCACCTACAAAATGTGAAGGAATTCCATCAAACATTGTATTCTTAACTCATGAAAGATTATCAACCAGAGGAGTCAAATGTGACTTTCATGTTTATAAAGCCAATGATTCTATTTTTGGCATTCCTAAATACTCACAAATACTTGGAGAATTGGCACATGAGAAAGGATTACATTGTCATCTAAAAAAAAGATTAATTGAAGTTCAAGATCATAAAGTTATCTTTGAGGATATTGAAACTAAACAATAATATACATCTGATTATGATTTCTTGCATATTGTTCCACCTTTAGTATTATATGAATTTTATATCTTATTAAGAAACCAGCTGCATTCATTGCTGAAAGTGGATTGGGTGATTCAGATGGATATGTTAATGTTCATCCTAATACACTTCAACATATACGTTATCCAAATGTTTGGGGTCTTGGAGATTGTTCATCAGTTCCAACATCTAAAACGGCTGCTGCTTTAATGGCTTAAACTCCAATTCTTATTAAAAATCTTATAAGAACATGGAAATTGAAATAGAACCCTCTACCAGAATATCAAGATATTAAATTAAAAATAGTATTAAGGTTATACTTCTTGTCCTGTCTATACTTCGAATAAGAAAGTATTGCTTGCTGAATTCAAGTACAATAAATAATTAGATGAAACCTTTCCTGTCTTTTAATCATCAGACAGTAAACTCATGTACTTAATGAAGAAGCATTTCTTCCTATTTGCATATTGGTAATTAATGGTTAGAGGTCTTTGGGGAGGCAGAGATGGAATAAGATTATTCAAGGGAGTTTGAAAAGATCCTCTTATTATATCATTTAAATATAATATTAAGTTAAAAATAATCATATATATCTTTAATAACATAAAATAATATATGTAAATATTAATCCTAATAAAAAATAAGTTCAAATTTAATATTTAATCAATGCAATAATAGAAATATATTAAGCCTTTCCCTGCTTTTAATATATTCATAAATGTCTTAATGGCTTCTGGACCTATCCTATTACCAATCAGCTCTGTAAAAGTTGGATATGGTTATACTTCCATATCACTTTCTATATGTTGTCTTATAAGTATAATAGCATGTGATTTCATTGTTGAGGTAGTTTGATATTCAGTAATTAATATAGGCTCTATATTTAGCAGATCAAATTGATAAAGACACAAATTTAATGGATAGATTGAATATTTAGGCAACTCACACAGTTTCTGATTCGACTGAAGAAATTTCATCTTAACCAGTATAATCAAAATATGCTTTATAAAGCCAATTCGAATATGGATCAATGGCTAAATTGTTTTATGGCAAATGGGCTGAATATTTAACTGTATCTATTATTGTGATATACTTATATGGTGCAGTTGTCGCAAAAGGAGTTATGGTGGGAAATTCTTTATCGTAATCATTTATATATCATATTTACTTTAGTGAAGTTTTCTAAAATATCACCCTAGTTGAATAATATTGGTTTTGGATTATAATATTCTTTGCTCTTTGTGGAATTTTATCCTTTAAAGATGTAGCTAGTATTCAAATAGTATAATCGACTGTTGCTTTGGCTCGTTATTTAACAATCCTTGCCATGCTTGGGGGGTCTATTCAATATATGATATAGGTAGAAGGAACATAAATCTAAGAGATGCAATGGTTCAATATTGATGCATTGCCATAAATGATATCAACAGCAATATTTGCATTTTTGATGCATCATTCATCACCTAGTATGTTAAGACCAGTAAGACCTACTTCAGCTATCAGAAAGATCATCTTTAGTAGCTTTGCTTTTGGATTATTTACATTTCTATTTGTATGTTTGACTGCCACTTTAGCATTTCCTAAAGAAGACTTTGCAGATGCTAGTTTTTATAATAAACTCTTTAATTAGAAATAGTTAAAATGGGCTTATTATATAATTAGCTTTTATATGTTTCTAAATATAGCTGCACTTCCTGTATTAACTATTACTATACGTAAAAATCTTATGAAATTGGTTGCTCCTCATCTTATTCCAAAAGATAATTTACAAATTACTTTACCAACAGCTTTATTCACATTAATAATTATTTTACCTTGTGCAACTCTTGCCATATGTAATTCATTTTCATTTATTCAAAAGTGCTACAACATAAAATTGAAATGATTGTAGGTATAACAGGAGGAGTATGTGGAGTATTCATTTTACTCACTATCCCAGCAGCCTTAGTATTACAAGGTCGTAAAAAACATAAAGTCAAATACATAGATAATCCCTACATTTCAAAATTCTAACATCCATTTTGGATTTGGACATTGATTGTACTTGGTTGTGTATTTGTGCCATACAATCTATACATGTAAATCAAAAAAATTATATGATCTTTATTTTTGATCACATTTTTTTGTCCATCAACAATATTTATATTATTGTATTTTAGATAAAATTATAATACTCAATATTTTAAAGCTTAATTCAATTGATTTTAAGTCTCTTAATAAAGCGATTCGAAATTTACTTATTCTAGTATTAATAACATCGCTATTCCTCTCACATTATGGGCTAAGAATCCTCCATAACCCCAACTAAAATTCCATTCTTTCATATTAAATTTCAATTTCTCCCATAAATTCTATTTTTTTGAAGCTTCTTATTAAAACAAAATTGATTTCACCTATAAACGACGTCTTACACTATCAATTGGATATATTAATGCATATGATCCCAAATAAGCTAATTATTAATTATAAGGTGTAATGCCATCTAATAGTGAATTCAATCCTACTATGCCATATGCAAATAATAATGTCTATACACATCCAATTGTAAATCCTGAATATAGACCCTTGAAAAATCCACTTTCTATTTTAATATTAAATCGAGTCTCTTCAAAACCTACATACATTCTTTTCTATCCTGGTATCTAAATTTCAGTTGCTTATCTAACTCTTATTGTATCAAAAGGGTATGAGAATATAGAAGTAGTAATGCCACATAATGTTGCACTAAGTCCCATTGACAAAATCTTGAAATTCAATTTATTTATATACATCTTTGTCATAAGTGACTTGTTTGATATTTTGATAGAAAACATATTATGCATACACTTAAGGTATCCACATATAAATTGCTGTTAAATTTGATCTGAATAATCCTTTAGGTCCCTCATTTGAAATTGTTTTCTTAAGAAATTAATAAAAATTAGTCATCTTCTCTTTGGAACTTAAAGTAAGAATATCTTAAGTCTGTCTGATTAGTTTATACCTCTCTAATGGAGCTAAAAGTGTTTTTACTATGGATGTGCTCACAAACCCTTATAGATATTCCTCCATAAATAAAATGCAATATTAATAATTTTATGAATTTAATTATTTTTAATTAATTTTATCAATATTTATTTTCATAACAAAAATATTAAATTTAACACAATAAATTGTCAAAAGATAAATAAATTTGATTGAAAATTGATCATTTCATAATAATCTTTGTATCAATATAATACATAAATATCATAAAAACTTACCCCTTTTTTTTATATTTGGAACTTAACAAACTTAAATTTTTATTTAAATTTAACTTTAATTATTATTCATTTTAGGTTTTTGGGGGATGAAATTTAATAATAGTTAAATGTATAATTTATTTTAATATTATTAATTACTATCAATTTCAAATTAAGAAAAGAATAACTAATTATTATAGATTATTGGATCTTTTTTATTAATAAAGGTTATTGATATTTCCTTTATATATATAATATATAATTAAAATATTAAAATGTTGTTAATAATATGGAATTATTTTTAATTATTATCTCAGAATTTATACTAATAAATAAATTTTAGTAATAAGATTATATATCAAATGTCTTAATTTTCATCTTGATCTGCTTAACTAGTACTTTCTTAATTTTTTCCAACATCATTCGTTTCTTTTTAACTAGTTTTTTCATTTATTTCACTAATTTTACCATTATCTTATAGTTCAATTTAACTATTATTATTAGAAATAACAGATTTCTTTAAATCTACATTTAATTCAATATTTTAAATTTTTTGTTCTTCTAAATTATTTCCATCATCTTGTACAATCTGTATATTTTATGTATTCTTCTTTTATTCAGACATAGGTTACTGTTCTTCTGTTGGCATCTCTATGTCTTCTTATATTGTATCTTATTTCTTTGCTCTACTGTACATCATAAATCGTCTCTCTCTCTAACTAATAAACCCTTGAGAAACTGGTTATTGTTGATCAGTGCTATTTGATCTAGAATTTCTCTGACTCCTCAATTATCTCTATTGATTAATCCTCTATTATTCATGTTATGCCTATTATTCTAGATGTTTTGCACTCTTAAGATCTATCTTTAATTGTAAGGGTGGCATTAATTTCCTAGCTGGATCAAACAATTTATGTAATAAATAATAAGACATTGTTTTCTTTTCTATCATTTAAACCTATATTAGTGATTAAACTGTACTTCTCTAAAGAATTCAAATATTTCTATATTGGAAGCTCTAGAATTAGTATCTAAAAGTGCAGAAAGAGAGTTTATCAATTGTCTTTGAAATTGTCTCAATTCACTATAAAGATTACAAGCTAGTTTTTTAAGAAGAAAGTCATGAGGGAAATTAGATAAGGCAGTTTTTAATTAAGGAACAAGTGATAAACCATGATTTACTAAATTTTCTAATTTAAAACATTCAACAACCAAACTTATATTAATTATATACTCATACTTTGATTATAGTATTTACTTTCTAGGATTATTATTTCTATAGGTTTTTATTTCTTATACATTTAATGCTAACTTCTATAGATATTATAGAAATGGAATCTGTATATTATCAAGTAGCCACACTTCATTTGTTATTTATTTGAAAACAAATGTTTCAGGTTTAGATGTTGCTCTACTTTACTATCTACATTACTTATTGAAATAAGCAAAATTAATCTTTGAAAAATGTTAAGCAAATTCTTCACTTATATTTAATACTTAATGGATTGTGATTAACATTTTCATTTTTATTGTATATAATTGTAAATTCTCATCTTAATAAACCTTGAAAAAATCTGTAATATTTTATTCATCAGTTAGAAATGGAATTAGAATTTCTACATCTTCCTATTTAAAAACAAAATTATCTCTAGCTAAACTTGATTTAGTTAAAAAGCTTTGGAACTCTGATAAACTCTGAAATAGTTTCTTGAATTTCTTTATCATATAATTAATAATATAATTACTAAAAAAATAAAAAAATGTCTAATTTTATCTATATATTTATATATATCTAATAAAATTTTCATAATCAAATCAAAGAACATTCATTAATATAAATATATTTCATCAATTTTGAGTATTCTTAAATTTATTCTAAAAAACATGAATTAGTATTTATGTTTAAATACTCTCTATAGATTAAAATAAATATATTTATTATCAATTTCAAACCATTTCTTAAAATTTATCATTAATATCTAATCATAATAAGAAATCTTATATTATAAGTTATTCATATATTAATAATATCTAAATTTAACTATTTTTTCAATCAATTTTAATATCAATAAAAGTTGCATATTATTAAGTCCATTACTAAGCTTTTTCATAATATTCTGAACAATTCTCCTAATATTACTAGGCTAATTTAAGATTCAACGGATTTTAAGGATTAGGCTTTTAAAAAAGACTCAAAATTTCTAATAACACTCAAAGGTTTTTAAATATTCATTTACTTTTTTTTACACCAATATTTTCTGACCATTCCTTTTTTAAAGTATTTAGAGCAATACAACCTTATTGATTTATATTCATATGGTATATTTTATTCAATACACGAAATTTTGGAGGAATTTTTGGATATTCTTTTGGAAATAACACATGAATGAAGAATTATCCTTTTTCATATGGGCCTAGTTTAGGACCCTTTATTACAACTTACCAACTATAATCATTTAGGATTTTTAAATCTAATATACCATCACCAATCTCTTTGCACTCATTAAATTCCTTTTGAATTATTTAATTCATTTCTTAATTCATAAAACAAAAATGAATTTAATAAATATTGTTTTATTTTAAACTATATTACTTAAATAATTATATATACATCAACTATTTAAAATATGAGTCTAAAATAGAATAGAACTATTATATACTACTTTAATAATAATTATATTACTTTATAGAGAATAATATTAAAATATTAGATATTTGATAATTAATACTAAAAGACAATGATACTATGATAAATTTATAAATTATACAAATAATTTAACATTTAAAACCTATTTTAATTCATTATGAATTAATATCAATATTAGACTAATTGAATATCTTATATATAATAAATAAAAATTGAAATTTAAAATATGATTATTTATTTCAATAATAATGTCAAAATTATATTATTTAATTTGATAATTTAATTGAGCAATAATTTCATTATTATTTTGAGAATTTATAGCATTTAAAATGATATTAAATCTATATAATGATGATTCCATTTTAGAAATAGAAACATATAATAAACACATTAAGTCCACAATTATCAATTATATTGTATACTAAAAATATCATAAAAATAATATCAAAATCAAAAAACTTGAATCAACTACTAGGAATTAATTTTTTAGGATATTTACAAGAATTATTTTTTTGTTAAATTAGTATATTTTTCTTCAACCAATTAATTTAAATTGAAAAAATAAGATTTATTATTGAATTCTAAAAATTTGAGATTTCTTAATAAAAAATCTCCGTATATAATACTAAATATATTAAAAGCAATATGGCACATTCCTTTACTCCATTTAATTAATCCTATTTTTAAAATTCATTAATTTAAAGTTCAATTAATTTTATAACAAAGTAATGGAGTTTCTTAAATATGAAAGCATTATTATATAAAAACTCACAACTTCTAATTCACTTTCATCAAATACTGCTGCAAATTTCTTATCTTTGACTATTTCATTATATAAGGTTTCATCTTTATATATATAATCCCACTATTTTATAAAATTAAATTTTTTTACCAATTTTTTGAATGAAGTTCTAAATGTATCATTCATATTATTATTTTAATTTATAAAATCATCCTTCTTAGTTTAATATATAGTAGAATGATTCTCGTTCAAAATTTTTTTAAGTTGTTTAAAATTATCAATAATTTTCTAAATCCTTAATATCAATTTATGTAAATTTAGTATATTATAAACAGCATCTCCATAATTCATGAATTCTTATCTAATCTCTTTTTAATTATTTCTACTTTAGAGTCTTTAGATTGATTGATACTAAAGTTCTTAAGTACAGCTAGTATTTGTTCTGTTTATTTAATTTCCTAATTGACAATTGTTGATTAACATTTAAATCTATTTTTTAAGAGTTTTAATTTAAAAACATTTAAATAGATCATGTTCTAATAATTAATTACAATTATATCTTTTATTCTCATCTAATTATAAACATTTATTAATAAGATCTTTAGCTGCTGATAAAATTATTATGTTATCGGAAAATTGAATAGGATTTTTGTGGAAATTTAACAAATTCTTATTCTCTATCCGCCTACCAAGGTAACTTTCCTAAGATAATATTATGGACATTACCAGTCAGAATTTTATAAAAAAATACTCCCAAATTCCAAATATCATTCTTTACTGATGTTTAAGTTTAATTATATAGAGTTGTACTAACATTATATTATACTTATTGGTTTTGAGAATAAATCATCCTTGAATGTCCATAATTGGCAATCTTATAAATACCCTTTTATATCAAAATATTTGATGGTTTTAGATCTGCATGAATGACTCCCTTTGAGATTTGGTCTTTTAATCCTGTCAAAATCTAATAAAATATTAAGATTGCCTAATTTTCAGGTATATACCCTCTTTTCATAATCATATTTTCTAAATCACCTATATAGAATTAAAAATATATAATACACTAATTACAGTATTCAGTTACAATATATGTACAATATTTATTATGAATGTAAAAAGGCATTTTAACAATGTTAAGCGAATCTAAGACTTATAATGCTGCGATTTCTTATAGAAATAACTATTTTTCTATTTAATGCTACACCCTTGAGTGATCACAAACCTTGATTTAAAATATTTCCATACTTTTATTGCAACAATATCTCCATTTACATCATTTTGGCCTTTAAATACTTGACTATTGTATCCTGATCCAATCAAATCTTCTGGACGATAACTGTAAATATACATTTTTATTCTCTTTTAATTATACATATTTATATAATTAATTATATATTTATTATTTGAATCAAGTTACAAATTAAAATGAGTTTATTATAAAAATTGCTTACTATAAAAATTAAACAATTATTTAACTATTCTCAATNTTTATTTAATTTCCTAATTGACAATTGTTGATTAACATTTAAATCTATTTTTTAAGAGTTTTAATTTAAAAACATTTAAATAGATCATGTTCTAATAATTAATTACAATTATATCTTTTATTCTCATCTAATTATAAACATTTATTAATAAGATCTTTAGCTGCTGATAAAATTATTATGTTATCGGAAAATTGAATAGGATTTTTGTGGAAATTTAACAAATTCTTATTCTCTATCCGCCTACCAAGGTAACTTTCCTAAGATAATATTATGGACATTACCAGTCAGAATTTTATAAAAAAATACTCCCAAATTCCAAATATCATTCTTTACTGATGTTTAAGTTTAATTATATAGAGTTGTACTAACATTATATTATACTTATTGGTTTTGAGAATAAATCATCCTTGAATGTCCATAATTGGCAATCTTATAAATACCCTTTTATATCAAAATATTTGATGGTTTTAGATCTGCATGAATGACTCCCTTTGAGATTTGGTCTTTTAATCCTGTCAAAATCTAATAAAATATTAAGATTGCCTAATTTTCAGGTATATACCCTCTTTTCATAATCATATTTTCTAAATCACCTATATAGAATTAAAAATATATAATACACTAATTACAGTATTCAGTTACAATATATGTACAATATTTATTATGAATGTAAAAAGGCATTTTAACAATGTTAAGCGAATCTAAGACTTATAATGCTGCGATTTCTTATAGAAATAACTATTTTTCTATTTAATGCTACACCCTTGAGTGATCACAAACCTTGATTTAAAATATTTCCATACTTTTATTGCAACAATATCTCCATTTACATCATTTTGGCCTTTAAATACTTGACTATTGTATCCTGATCCAATCAAATCTTCTGGACGATAACTGTAAATATACATTTTTATTCTCTTTTAATTATACATATTTATATAATTAATTATATATTTATTATTTGAATCAAGTTACAAATTAAAATGAGTTTATTATAAAAATTGCTTACTATAAAAATTAAACAATTATTTAACTATTCTCAATCTCAATTTTATTTATTAAATGTTTTTGTAAATATTTTTAAAGAATATACTTTCTAAATATTAAAAAGTCTATTTTTTAATATTATTTTGATATAATAAGATAGATTTTCATTTGGTATTAATATTAATCTATTTTATAACATTGAAACTAATAAAAAATTTATTATGTAGTAATCTATAGATTTAGAATAATCAATTTCTAATTTTAGTAATTGATAATCTATTAATGTAATTAAATATAGATTAGAGATAATCTAAGTATATATTAATTACTCAAAGCTATGTATGTATTAGATTTGATAAAATTGTTTGATTTTATAAAAGATTTTGAAATAAATATTTCTGTATGTATTTACCTTAAATACTATGTCTAAAGAGTTTATAAATGTTAATTAGTATATTTTATAAAATGAAATCTCCTTAAAAAGATTTTGATTCAACATAAATTGATAAAAAGATGAGTTCCTTTTGGTAATTTAAAAACATATCAAACTTACCTCTTAATATAAGTTTTGATAGATTCAATGTGTATTCTGAAAAGAAGAAAACGTTTAAAGTGATAGAGATAGCTAAGATGAAGAGTTTGATTTTTAAGAAAAAGAAGAATCAAGTATAATGGATAATTGATTTTAGACTGGATATATGATAGTAGATATAACAGATTGTATTATATCAATAGTAGAAAACAATCATATTGGTCATGGACTTTCCTTTACTAAGTCAACCTTTAAGTTTCTAATATTTGGGTCTTTAATTCTGGATTGGTTTGAATCATTAAAAAAATATTGTTATTAGACAGAATTTAGTAATAAGTATGAGTTATTAAATTTACTTAATAGAGGATCATCATACAAAGTATCAATTTATAATAAATTAGGTATACGAAGCAATTAATATCTACGAATAAACTAATTATACTGTGAAAGTATATGAGAAATAAATATTAACAAAATAATCTGATATTGATGCAATCAAAAAGGAGATTTAAATCTTTAGATTAATGAATCATCCTGGAGTTGTAAATTTGATAGAAGTATTTGAAAATGAATAAGAATTTCTAATTGTATATGATTCATTTGAAGGAGGTACTTTAACTGATTTGATAAAAAATTATCAAATACCAGAATAATAAGCAATTAAGATAATGTTCCGATTGCTTAATTCAATAAGTTATATTCATGAACAATGTGTTCTTCATAGAAATCTAAAACCAGAAAATATCTTAGTAAAGAATCCTTTGGCTCCATATAATGTTTAAATTAGTGATTTTAGTCTTGCAGATTTCTTTAGAAGAGATGTTAAATATTTATTTACTCGTTGTGGTACTCCTGGTTATGTGGCTCCAGAAATTCTATAAGATAAAAGTTATGATTTTAAAGTTGATGTCTACAGTTTAGGTGTTATCTTCTATACTATGTTATCTGGAGGTATTTCACCATTTCCAACCAAAAGTTATGATGAAAGGATATATCTTAATTATCATGGTCAAATTGATTACTCTATAATAGATGCATCATCTGATGCACTTGATTTATTAAAGTAGATGCTTGAAATCAATCCATAGAAACGTATTAATTCATCTTAAGCAATTTGGCATTCTGTATTTAAAGGATTACATAAACTTAAAATTACTAGTCTAGAATCAGAAAAGAGAAATTCTTCAATTAAATTAACTATTAAATAAAGTCTACCTCCTAAAACAATTGAGAATTTAAAATTAATACCTTGTCCTATTAATTAATTACCTCCTTCTTCAAAATAATATTAGAGAAGATAGAAATTTAGAATCACATTTAAAAATAGCCGCTAAACATTAAGTAATGCTTCATCTCCTATGATGTCACCAGGAAAAAAACTATTTTCAACACAATCACAAAGAACACTCTTTTCTAATTTTACTTGAAATATTGAATCACAATTATTTGATTATATAATTCTGTAAAATGTTTACAAATTTTTATAATATATTCTTTATATAAAATTTATTTAAAAATTAATGTTGAAAAATGTTCAAACTCAATCAATCTTTAAAAAATTTCATTATAATAATATGATTTTAATTTGATAACCTTAATTTTATTTGAATAATTTAAGTCAGTATATTATTAAAGATTTTCTAAAAAAACTAGAAATTGAATGGAAAAGGGAAATTCTAATTAAAATATAAATGATTAATTATATTGAAGAGTAAATTAATATTAAAGATTTAGAATATACATTCCTCAATAAAAATGAACAATGAATTTTAATTTAATAAATTGTGTTCCATTATGTATATTATAATATCAATTTTTATTCAAATCATTCACAATATAATTATATTATTAATTTGATTTATTAATCCAATTCTAATTATATCAACAAAATATATAAATGATTTTAGGTTTTCTATTTATAAAAAGAAAAAATGTAAGATCACATAATAATAAATCTTAAACATTTATTGTGTCTTAATTATATGAATGAAATTTCATTATATAATCTTGTATTTTGATTAATAATTATACATTATGTTACTTAATTACAAGTCTATACTTCTTGAATCAGATTAACCTATTTGGAAAAAAGTTGACAAAAATATTAGATTGAATGAATTTACTAAAGAAGAGTTATTTTATTATTCAAAAAAGCATAAAGACTATAAGAAAAAGACATTTGCTAGGAAGGATTCAATTATATTGAAATTTGGTAAAGGAGAAGTATATTTATAATTTAAAATAGGATGATATAATGTGTTGTAATGTTAGTAACTTTATATTAGAAATTATCAATCATCAAAAATTAGGATCTGGTCTCAAGTTAATTTCGAATACTTATTGTTTTGAAGTTTTTGGTTAAATTGAACAATGGAATAGAGATCTTAAAAAATATTGTATTCAATATAATCTTAAAACCAAATATACACTTGGGAAAAAACTAGGAAATGGAAGCTTCGCAGATGTAATTTATAAAATTAAACATAAGGTATATCATCTAATTCACAAAGAGAGTAAGCAAGAATTTGCTGTCAAAATATATGACAAGACTTCTACTAAATTTGATTTATCTTGTGTTAAATAAGAATTAGATATTTTACGATAAATGGATCATCCATTTACAAGTCAAATCATAGAAACATATGAATCATCAAAATACTTATATTTAATTCAAGAGTTTTACAAATATGGAAGTCTTTATGATTATCTTTTATAAACTCAAATTACAGAAGATGATGCCATTAAAACTACCTATAAATTACTAGAAGCCTTAGTTAATATTCATTCTAAAGGAGTGTTGCATAGAGATATCAAACCTGAAAATATACTACTTCGTAAACCCAATCTCGAAGATATCGTTATTTCAGATTTTGGGTTAGCTGTCTATTATAATGAAAATGGGAAGTATAATCATTAAAGAGCTGGTACTCCTGGTAGTATTGCTCCAGAAATACTCAAAGATTAGAATTATGATTATAAAGTCGATGTTTATGGATTAGGAATTGTACTTTATTAAATGTTGACATCAAAGTAATCTCCCTTTTACAATCAAAATTATTAAAAGATGTTGTCTGAAAATTAAGAAGGTTTTATAGATTATTCATTAATAAATTCCTCATCTCAAACTATAGATTTACTTACTAAAATGCTTGATCCTGACCCTTCTGCAAGATATACAGTAATACAAGCTAAACAAGATTAAGTATTTAAGAAATATAATCGATAAACAATTATAATAAAGAGAAAGAAAATAGTTTAGGATAAAACTGCTTCTAGTTTTAGTCCAAGAAGTAATTCCATATTTTTTAGTCCATCCCCAAAATAAACTCCTCCTATAATTATTTCAAGTCCTAAAAATTGTTCTTAATTCAATAAAAGAATATTGGGAATCCCATTAAGATCTAAAAATGATGATAGAAGATAATTTTTTTCTCCAAATTCTTTCATCAATAATGGAATCCCTTAAAATTCAGCTAGAAAACATTATCAAATGTCAACTAATCAAACTAGAAAGAGTATTTATTAAGGAATTAATTCTTATAAACCTGCATTTTGAATTGATTTGCTATTCTATTTGATTCTTTAATTGTTATTAATATAAATATGATAAATGTTTTTAATATATATTATTAATTATATGTATTATTTAATAATAATCTTTATTGGGATAGCTTGGTATTGTTGGAGAGACAATATAAAGTGTATCTTTCCTATAACTTCAAAGGATACAATTTTAATTACAGGAGCATGTATGGGATTAGGTAAAGCTTTGGCAATTGAATGCGCAAAAAAAAAATGCAAATTAATCCTTTTAGATGTGAGATCTGATTTATCTTTGGATTTACTTTAAGATATAAGAAAAGAAGGAAGTGAGGCTTAATTTTATAGATGTGATTTAAGTGATTTATAATCAACAAAAGAATTAATTTCAATGATAAAATAGAAATACAAAGTTACTATTTTAATAAATAATGCTGGAGTTGGGATATTTAAATTATTTGAAGATGAAACTATTGAAGATGTTATTAAAACAAATACAATTAATTATCTTGCTCCAGCTATGTTAACATAAGAATTTATTAAAGATAATATCAATCATATTGTTAATATTGGTTCAGCTGCATCAATTGTTTAAGGGATGAAGATAACTGCTTATTCAGCTAGTAAACATGCAATGTGGGGATTTCATAATGCTTTAAGAATGGAATTAAAATATTAAAATAGTAATGTTAGAACTACATTAGTTTGTCCATGGGGAATAAAAACTGGAATGGTATATAAGATATAATTATTATATATAGATATAAGGTTTGAAAACTAAATTGGATTATTTTTTACCTATGATGACTCCTGAATATGTTGCATAGTGTATTTTACAAGCAATAGAAGCAGGAAGAGAAATTATTTTCATATAATGGTATTAATTCTATATAGCTCACATATCAAGATTATTATCTAGTAAAATAGTAGATTGGTTTATTTTGTTTGTTTAAGCAAAACATGTTCATGAATTTAAGGGTAGATATGCATGATTTTTTGAGTTTTTATTAATATTTATAATTAATTGAGTAGTCTAATTATATAGATATTAAATAAAAAGAATTTTGATTATTAATAGTATTTTGTAATTAAAATACAAATTATAATGATTAGATATATTCCAATTAGTAAAATCTTAAAGAATTTATTAAATATTATTTGTACATTAGAAATGTTAATAAATTTTTGGGAATGAAAAATATAAATTTGTATTATATATCAAGTAATGTGTTATTATATTATAAATCAAAAGAAAGGAGTATTATAAGATTATATTAGATTAGAGAAGTAATTAAGAGTCTAAGATTTAATCTAAATAACAATATTAAAGAGATTGATGATTAATTATATTTTTAATAATTATCTATTTATTATAATTAGTCAATCATCTAAAATAAAAAAAGAATTAGTTAATCAATATTATATAAAATATGATTTAGATAATGATATAAATTAAAAATGTAATTTTAATTCTGAAATAATCATAAATTAAAATCTCATTTTTATGCAATTCATATTGAAATTGGGATTTATACTAATTTTATTGTATTAGACATTATCATAGACATGCAGAGTAATTCATTTTTATATGGTTAGCTAAAAAATACAGAATATAATTTGTTAACAATAGTGAGTGGTGAGACCTTTCATTTACCACTCAATGAATATTTTATTGGTGATGCACTTTAATATACAATTACCCCTAAAGGATAACCCTTTGTATAGAGACGTCAATAAATTGGATAAGGAGTATTATAAGGAACAATAATTTCATCAACTTCTTCAAATTTCAATAATAATCCTTATATTTAAGGAATTAATTATTATGCACTAATTCAAATTAGTGATTTGGATTTTGCAATCGTTTAATCTTAACTTTAATCGGAATCGTACAATATTAGTTTTGCATCAATTACTTCAGGAACTTGCTATTAAGTTAATTTTTTATAAGATATGGTTGTAGTTACATGCTCATCTTCAGGAAAAAATATCCTTGAATATTAATTTTATTAAGCATCAAATTCTTCATAGAATTTTTCAATATTGATTGATACTATAATTATCACTCCTGGATCAAATTTGAGTGTAATTACTTAAACAGCTGGATAATATATAGTAACAATTGTAAATTAGGGAACATTTTAAAATAATTCATATTCAGTCATATCAACAAATATTTCTGCTATTTAATTATTGTAAGAGGAAAATGGAAAATATGATTTTACTTAATTATAACTTCCTGCTATTTTGGAAACTAACAACAATTTAGTAACTGATTTTTATACAGGAATTTCATTGAATTAAAATGGAATGTGTAATATTTATTATTTATTTTAGTATTTGTTTCTACTTATTATAATGGATTTAAACCTGTAAATTTATTAGATTTATCAGTAAAAATAAATCCTTTTAATCCTTTTAATATAGGAACTATGGGTGTAAGTTCTTATAAAATAGATATCTCAGATGACACATTTTATTTATCTATTTGGAGTACTGAAGGTTTAATAGTAGGAGTATTTCAAGAATCAGTAGTTAATTAAAAAACAGGAATATTTGATAATAAGATATAATTTTAACAATCTTAATTGATTTTAACTTCTTAAATTACTTATGGTTAAATATTTACAACTTAAGTTTTTATGAATTCTAGATACATTATTGTTAGTAATTCTAATGGAATATCAGTTTATCCAAGTATTTTAAATACTATTAATGATTGGAAAGTATTATTTTACTATAATTTAAATGTATAATCTACTGCCTTTGATTATTTTAATAGTATTTTAATAGCTGTTGCAGATTAGAATGTTTATACTTATGAATTCAATAATCCAATGATCACAGCTACAAATTTACCTTTTTTAAATACAACTATTTAAAATATCACAATTACTGCAACAACAAATATGTATACAAATAAAAATTAAAAATCATGTCCACCTTTGTAGTTATTCTATAATATCACATCAAATGAATATTATTTATAAATATTTAATGGATATCAAGTTAATAGTACAAAAGAGACATATGTTTAATGGGGTCCATTATTCAATCTAAATATGGGATCCATTCAAACCTTGAATATTAATAAAATGTTAATTGGACCTGCTATTTTAGCTGGATATCCAACAACAAAATAAGCATACTCAAATTTTGATATTTAATTTTCTAATGTTTTATAAACTCCTTCAATACAGAGTCCATTCAAAATAAATTCTAATATTATAGGTGGATAAAAGATTTTGTACTCTCAAATATTTTATGATAATTCATTTATTGAAAATTATCAAGATAAGGTAGGTGATAGTGATAATTACCTTTAACTGGTGTAAGTTTCAAATTATGTAGCTTTATTTTAATGTTAAGCTTTAAAAGATTAACCATGTACTTTAATAGCTAGCATTCCAGTAAAAGATACATTAGTTGAGCAATTCGCTTTGAGTATGTCAACTAATAATTCTTTAAATATAGCATATATGTGGAATGATTTTGATATCAATTACAAAACATATGTAGGACATACTACAATATGTATGTTAAGTTTTCCATATACAGCATTATATTAAACATGTAAAACCATAGATTATAATTCAAAATAAGTAAACTCTTCTAAAGGAATACAAATTGCATTGATTTAAGATAATTTCTATATGCTTTATTAACAAACTTAAGATGGTTAATAAACCCAAAATTATTTCTCAGCTATTAATCTTTTAGAATTTTTGACTCAAAATATTAGCATTTATGAACTTTCATCATTTTTAACATATGAAAATATTAACAATGTTAAAATAAACAGTTTCACTTATAATGTACCTGCCTATGGAAATATCATTTTCCTTAATATTGAAGATTCTGTCGTTACAGATATGATTGATTATTAATATTATGTTACTGCTATCAATTATAATGGAGGTTACTTAAATTATTCTACTAAATATTCATATAAATTAGAAGTAATTGGAACTGTTTAAACATATAATAGTATCACAAAAACAGATGTTTAACTTCAATTAACTATGGAAGGAATATATATTTTAATAATAAATAACCCTGGATAATCTACTTTAACATTTTATCCAAGAATTGATTTTATGCCATTGATTTTGTTTTCCAAATATCAATAAACTCCTCCTAATCTCCCTGTAAATGGAATTTAATTGTAGTTGTATGGAATTCAGAAGATAGTATAGAGTGCTGCTTCAGCTCGTTTCTTATATATAATGGCTTAACCTATCAATTAAAATATATATTAAATATATGTGTATAAGAATACTCCTTCAATTTAGAATGCATTATATTTTGTGATTGAGACTGATGCAAATGATCCAATAGTCAATGCTCCATTTAGTGTTACTAGTGCTATATATTATGATGGAATAATATTTAAATCAAAAGGAAATGATGGATATCGTAATAGTCTTCTTTTAAAGGAATTTGAATTTTAAGTATAATGTAATTTGAATAGCAATTTCTACGAACAAACCGAATACAGTTATGTAATTTTTAAGGCTTCAAGTTAATTATACAGTTCTAAATTGCCAGATTCTGCTTAAGAATATTAAGCAACATTTTAGTCTGTTAATTTAATTTCCTTTGTAAAAGAAACAAGTACAATATAAAATAGTACAAGTATATAACCATCAGGTTATGTATAAGTGGATCCAAGGTCTTATTTCTTAGGAAATACATAAAGCTTTTAATTATCAAATGGAACTAATTAATCATCATTTTATTATTTTGATATAATATCTCCAGTGGAAAGACAACCATAAACTACAAACTTTTAATTTCCAGTTACAGCAGTTTCAGCATATATGTATATATAAACAGAATAATCACAACTTTCTGAGAGTAATTCTTAAAATTAATATTGGTTCACTTTTGTTTAAACAAATAGATTAGTATATGTGACTCCATATATTTATTATAATCCACCTTAAGATTTTGTTAATAATTCAACAGTTAAAATTAATTATCCTTTGATTTATAAATTACCTATATTAGATATATCTCCTAATTCTTAGAAATGTCCATTAATATTTGTAGATAAATATTCATTAGGAGTAGTCAGTGTTTGTGGAACTAATATTAATAATAAATTTGCAGCTTCTTTTACTTTATTTAATACATTAACTTAAAAAGTTTAAGAAACAAAGATAATAATATTAAATGAAGCATTCCCAACATTAGGTTAACTTAATTATACAAATAATGGATCATATTCACTTTAATCAGCCACTTATTTAGATATAGGAGTAGTAGTATTATAATTTTAATATAATTATAATTTTGGTTCATCACCTCCAACAATTATAATATTACCATTTTTATATACTGCTAATTTGGACACTAAAATAGCAATTTATCCATAAAATCCAAATGTATCTTATTATTAATACATTTAACCAATTTAATAAATCTATTAAGTTCCAAATAATACTTTAGCTAACTAATATTCAGTTACAGTATTTTCAATAACAACTGAATACTTTGGTGGATTGAATAATCCTTAAATATCAAATCCACTACCTCAAATAAAGTTTGGATACATATGTGTTTCAGAAATTGATGAATCATGTTTATAATCTTATCCATAAGCAAATAATACATATGGTAGTGCTAGTGGATTTGTAATCACACTTATTCCAGATGCTAATTTGTCTTCAATATTTTAAACTAATGCAAATGTAAGTTATAATTAAACAAATATTATGATCTCAACTTCATCAAAACCTTTTTTGTTAGCTTTAATGCATTTAGTATCAAGTATTTAAATATTTTACATTTAGGTTATACTTAAAATTCTATTCAATAAGTAATTTAAGCAGGATCTCCAATAATTGAATTTAATACAATCTCTTTAGTACCATTAATAGCAGTCAGTTAAGGAACAGCATATATATTTAAATTACAATTTTAATTGAGTAATGGTTAATATCTCTAATCCTAATATGCTTGTACACTTCTAGGATTATCTGATAAAAATCCTATTTTATAAATTTCAGCAAGCAGCTCAAATACTAATCAATATTAAGTAGTAGCAATAGTATCCAATCCTTCAAATTCATCTAATAATTAGGTTTCACTCCTTAATTATGGATTTATTAATCAGTATATATTTTATTTTATATTTTATAGATAATGTAATTTATAACCTAATGCAATAAAAACACCTGAACCAATAATAATCAAAGAAGAATTAGAAATTATTGTTACAGCTATAGGATCAACCACTTATGTTTCAACAGAAACTCCTCCTATTCTATAATTGATGCAACCACCTTAAATAGATAATTAAACTGTTGCTGATATTGCTAGAACTTTGATAAGTGATAATTAAGTAATTACATTACTTGATACATGTCCTTATCTTACTATTTCTGCTTATCCTAATTATAATATTTAAGGAGGTGTCACTTTGAATTCATCAGTATTATTCACTTAGGATTCATAATAATTAATAACTTCTATTTCAGCAATGAGCATTTAGACATACATCAATAATTAATTGGTTTCAGGAAAAGGAGGATCAACAATCTTGAATTTCAATATTACATAGATTCCTATTAATTAAACATTCCCAAATTCTGTTTGGGATAGAAAACTATGGGGTTAATTTATTTGGGGATTCTTCATGTTTGTTATTATTATAGGTGTTTTAGGATACTTGTTTTATAAATCATAGCCATTGCCATACGATAGGTTTTGATTTATTTAATATATATTCAAATAACAATATTATATCAAATCATAATTAATTCATAATCTATTTATTTTTCATCATTTTCAAATTTTAATTATATCTTTTTGGAATTCATTTGTATATTTGTAAATCAATCTTTTGTAATTTAATCTATATAATAAGCATCTGGAAATACTAAAAATTTATATGTTGTATATTCAAAATTAGTATTTAATCATCAATATTATATCTTCTATTTTTATATATTTCATTTAAAAATTCAAATATTTTATCATATTTTTTTTATTAATTATACCATTAAATTTGATAATTAAAATGCTTCCTCATAAAGCATTCTAAACCTTATTTTAATTGAATAAATTCAGTCCCTTTAAAAAGATATTATAACCTTATTTGACTCAACGTCCCTTTAAAAAGATATTATAACCTTATTTGACTCAACATAAATTGAAATTACTTTATATATTTGATACTTAATATTTTTATTATTATTATTGACTGTATCTAAGATCTTCAAGTAATAATTATAATTTTTCTTTATCTATTGGATAAGTATTGATAATATTAGTAGGTTTATGTATATATATAATTAGATCTCTCTTCTAATTTCTATTATATTTAGGAAGTTAAAACTATTTATTATTTAAACTCGAGTTCTCAGTCTTTAATTTTATTAATACATTTAATTATCAGTAATTATTTAATCTTCTAATTTCATCTTTAATTGGGTTTTCTCAAAAGAAATCTATTTGATTTACTTTTTTGTCTTAATATTATCTTAATATTCATGTTTAAGTTGATTAATTTGTTTTTCTAGTATAGTTTTGAATCTAAATATCAAATGATACTATAATTAGGTACTCTTGAGCATTAATGATCAACATATAATTATTAATTCGCTTCCCTGTCTCTGGATCATTAAATAAGCTGTTTTCATATAAAAACACATACTCTTGGTCTGTCTACTTAATAAAAACTTATTGAAACTATTTCAAACGAAGTATTTAATTTTTTTGTTCTTTATTTCTTTTTGTAATTCTATTAGTTATATTAATTTCACTGATTTACATTGTATTTTTTAGACTTCAGTAAGTTCAGATATTTATTAGGCTTATTCTCAAATCTTTGCTTTCAACATTGACACTATACTTCCTTCTTAATTTGCAGTAGTTAATCCTAATGGATATGTATGTAATTGAAATCCATCAACTTTCACTATCTATTAAATATGATTCTAAAAAGTTCAAAATACATATAAATTACCTCTAATTATTAAGGTATTGTTCTTAATTAAATATTCTGGATTTGCAATACATTGACTTCTTATTGATATTATAGATTCTAAATATAAAGAGTCTCTCCATCAACAAAGCGTTTTAGTTGGAGAACATATAACCTTGTTTGGCTTGGGAGTGAACATTAGACGAGATATTGAATCTCTAGATCGAACATCAGAAGCCTCAGATTTCAACTTAATTATTGATGACTAAGGTCTATGTTACATTATTCAGTAATTATATTTCACAATTTATTAATTTTCATTAAAATTTTTACTTAATTTATTTTTTCATTTTCTTTTCTATCTTAGTTATATGTATATCTTCATCAACTTTATTTTTTTTATATTACTTACTACAATAATTAGATCTTAATATTTGTTTGAATAATTCGTTATTATTTTCATCATTTATTTATTGCTATCTTATATTTTAGTATTACAGACTTTTAGAAGAAATTAAAAATTATATTCTTCATGTTTATATTAACCAACTATATATATTTATGTATTTTATGAATAGTTAAATATATATATATTCATAAAAAAAGAAATTACTTATAAAAATACTATATTAAATATGAATTATTATTCAATTAGAATATTACAATAATATAATTTAAAATATATATAATATTATTTTATAGAGTAAGTAATATCACATAATTTATTACACAATAGATTGGCATTCATCAATAATTAGATCAATTTCTCTTTCAGTTTTCATTATTTCAAATTTGTGAATTGAAAATTTCATTGCTAATTGTATTATATAATTAACATTTAAATTTAATACTTTAAGTTATTAAACTGAATTCTTTCTAATATTATCTTATTTAGTTTTGATCTTTTATTTTTGATCAATTCTAGTTTATAAAAGTTCTTAATATATTAATTCATGAAACNTACTATAATTAGGTACTCTTGAGCATTAATGATCAACATATAATTATTAATTCGCTTCCCTGTCTCTGGATCATTAAATAAGCTGTTTTCATATAAAAACACATACTCTTGGTCTGTCTACTTAATAAAAACTTATTGAAACTATTTCAAACGAAGTATTTAATTTTTTTGTTCTTTATTTCTTTTTGTAATTCTATTAGTTATATTAATTTCACTGATTTACATTGTATTTTTTAGACTTCAGTAAGTTCAGATATTTATTAGGCTTATTCTCAAATCTTTGCTTTCAACATTGACACTATACTTCCTTCTTAATTTGCAGTAGTTAATCCTAATGGATATGTATGTAATTGAAATCCATCAACTTTCACTATCTATTAAATATGATTCTAAAAAGTTCAAAATACATATAAATTACCTCTAATTATTAAGGTATTGTTCTTAATTAAATATTCTGGATTTGCAATACATTGACTTCTTATTGATATTATAGATTCTAAATATAAAGAGTCTCTCCATCAACAAAGCGTTTTAGTTGGAGAACATATAACCTTGTTTGGCTTGGGAGTGAACATTAGACGAGATATTGAATCTCTAGATCGAACATCAGAAGCCTCAGATTTCAACTTAATTATTGATGACTAAGGTCTATGTTACATTATTCAGTAATTATATTTCACAATTTATTAATTTTCATTAAAATTTTTACTTAATTTATTTTTTCATTTTCTTTTCTATCTTAGTTATATGTATATCTTCATCAACTTTATTTTTTTTATATTACTTACTACAATAATTAGATCTTAATATTTGTTTGAATAATTCGTTATTATTTTCATCATTTATTTATTGCTATCTTATATTTTAGTATTACAGACTTTTAGAAGAAATTAAAAATTATATTCTTCATGTTTATATTAACCAACTATATATATTTATGTATTTTATGAATAGTTAAATATATATATATTCATAAAAAAAGAAATTACTTATAAAAATACTATATTAAATATGAATTATTATTCAATTAGAATATTACAATAATATAATTTAAAATATATATAATATTATTTTATAGAGTAAGTAATATCACATAATTTATTACACAATAGATTGGCATTCATCAATAATTAGATCAATTTCTCTTTCAGTTTTCATTATTTCAAATTTGTGAATTGAAAATTTCATTGCTAATTGTATTATATAATTAACATTTAAATTTAATACTTTAAGTTATTAAACTGAATTCTTTCTAATATTATCTTATTTAGTTTTGATCTTTTATTTTTGATCAATTCTAGTTTATAAAAGTTCTTAATATATTAATTCATGAAACCATGAATAATAAAGATCAATTTCTCTTTTTACTGATTTACGATGTTTACTTTTATTCCATTCACAAACAAGTTTCTTAAATTTCATTCTCTTAATTTTTTCATAAGATTCTTATTTTTTTTTTATTATAAAAGATTATACTAAATTTTCTTCTTCTACAACTTTACCAAATTTATTCATTAATTTTTGTAAATAATTATTACTCTCAAACATATTAGTTTAAATTGTCTATTGACTTCTTGTAGCAATCAATTCTCTTATAATTTTATAATCTGGATCTGCAACTAATGCACCTCTTCTTTTCTTTGTTCTAACTATCATTTATTTAATTCTATCAACAGCCTTTAAATATATATATATATATAAAATATACCAATCTAAATTTCTCTCTTAATAATTTCTTCCTTGCTTATTTTTAACCAACAACTGATAACATTAAATCCTATTATACACTGATGTAATTTCTACAATCTATTTTTGATTTGAATTATTATCTATTTTCACTTGATCTCCTAACTTATTGTGTTTAAACTACCTTACCTTCTACAATTATGGCTGTAGATCTTTTAAGTCTAACAGCTTATCCTAAAATAATTAATATATAAATATTACTTTATTTTTATTCTGCATAATCAGATAATAAGATTTTCCTTCTTTTATACATCTAATATAATTCAAAAAACTGAGTAGAATTTTATTTGATTAAAGATTCAAAAAATCTACCTGGGCACATTAAAACAACACTTTTTGTAACAGCATGAGCATGCCATCTTCTTAAAGTTTATTCAATTGATTCTACTTCTCCAAAAACTGTTCCTTCCATAACTCTTATTATACATTCACCAGAAGCATCAGATAATCTTACATCACCACTTAATAAATAATAGAAATCAGAAGAACTTTAACCTATATGATATATTGTAGAATATTCATCATATTTAGCAAAAGTACAATAAGGTAATACCATAGTAGAGAAATTAATATCATTGGCAATAAATGGAACCATTTTTAATATTTCTCTATGAGTTGATGCAATAACATATTATCTCATACTCCAAGGTAAAGCTTATACCATCTCAATTGTATTACGTGCCCAAAATGGATTATGAGATATATTAAATTTAGCAAATTGTATTAATTCTTTGAGTATTTCATCAATCATAAATGTTTAATCTCCCAATTCCTCTAATAATATTAATTAATCTTCATATTCTTAACGTGGATTAACATTTACTAAAATGCAAGTAATATCACCTATAGTAAATGAATAAAATCCAACTCCAATTAGCATCCATATAATTTGAAGAAAGAATTCAAAAGATGTATGAGCAGCAACATCTCCATATCCTATAACAGTCACTGTTTATATGGCCCAATAAAAACAAATAAGATACTATTTTCCTATATTAAAATCTTAAACATTCTCTCTTACAACCCATGTATCCTAATTAAATTCATCTATTCTAGCACTCCAAAACCATAAACATGCAAATATATGAGTCAATATTACCATATCTATAAATATGGTTACTACTCTTCTTATTCTTAAATCTATATTATAATCTTCTCTATAAGATAAATCTTCAATTACTATAATTTCCTTCTTCTTAATTATATCATTTGCTGTATGGTAATTTTCACGTCTTTCATACATAAAATATTTAGCTATTCTAAGTAATCTCATTAATCCCAATATTTAAGTACTTTCGAAATCTTCGAATGGGATTATAGATATTAAATCAATTAAAAACCATCTTTTTACATAATAGGGAATTATTGCATCGAAAGTATGCAAAAGAATGTTATGCTCATCTATGTGACAACTTATGCAATTAAAGAGGATATCTATTGCAAATATTGCAGAAAGTATTTGAGTCACTATTGTTCCGACTCCCTTAATATTTTTAGCTACAATACTTGGAATGCCAATTCAAAAGGCAAAATTATTGAGGCAAAGCAATGCAACCCTTTCATTAAAACTATCCATATGNCTGCAACTAATGCACCTCTTCTTTTCTTTGTTCTAACTATCATTTATTTAATTCTATCAACAGCCTTTAAATATATATATATATATAAAATATACCAATCTAAATTTCTCTCTTAATAATTTCTTCCTTGCTTATTTTTAACCAACAACTGATAACATTAAATCCTATTATACACTGATGTAATTTCTACAATCTATTTTTGATTTGAATTATTATCTATTTTCACTTGATCTCCTAACTTATTGTGTTTAAACTACCTTACCTTCTACAATTATGGCTGTAGATCTTTTAAGTCTAACAGCTTATCCTAAAATAATTAATATATAAATATTACTTTATTTTTATTCTGCATAATCAGATAATAAGATTTTCCTTCTTTTATACATCTAATATAATTCAAAAAACTGAGTAGAATTTTATTTGATTAAAGATTCAAAAAATCTACCTGGGCACATTAAAACAACACTTTTTGTAACAGCATGAGCATGCCATCTTCTTAAAGTTTATTCAATTGATTCTACTTCTCCAAAAACTGTTCCTTCCATAACTCTTATTATACATTCACCAGAAGCATCAGATAATCTTACATCACCACTTAATAAATAATAGAAATCAGAAGAACTTTAACCTATATGATATATTGTAGAATATTCATCATATTTAGCAAAAGTACAATAAGGTAATACCATAGTAGAGAAATTAATATCATTGGCAATAAATGGAACCATTTTTAATATTTCTCTATGAGTTGATGCAATAACATATTATCTCATACTCCAAGGTAAAGCTTATACCATCTCAATTGTATTACGTGCCCAAAATGGATTATGAGATATATTAAATTTAGCAAATTGTATTAATTCTTTGAGTATTTCATCAATCATAAATGTTTAATCTCCCAATTCCTCTAATAATATTAATTAATCTTCATATTCTTAACGTGGATTAACATTTACTAAAATGCAAGTAATATCACCTATAGTAAATGAATAAAATCCAACTCCAATTAGCATCCATATAATTTGAAGAAAGAATTCAAAAGATGTATGAGCAGCAACATCTCCATATCCTATAACAGTCACTGTTTATATGGCCCAATAAAAACAAATAAGATACTATTTTCCTATATTAAAATCTTAAACATTCTCTCTTACAACCCATGTATCCTAATTAAATTCATCTATTCTAGCACTCCAAAACCATAAACATGCAAATATATGAGTCAATATTACCATATCTATAAATATGGTTACTACTCTTCTTATTCTTAAATCTATATTATAATCTTCTCTATAAGATAAATCTTCAATTACTATAATTTCCTTCTTCTTAATTATATCATTTGCTGTATGGTAATTTTCACGTCTTTCATACATAAAATATTTAGCTATTCTAAGTAATCTCATTAATCCCAATATTTAAGTACTTTCGAAATCTTCGAATGGGATTATAGATATTAAATCAATTAAAAACCATCTTTTTACATAATAGGGAATTATTGCATCGAAAGTATGCAAAAGAATGTTATGCTCATCTATGTGACAACTTATGCAATTAAAGAGGATATCTATTGCAAATATTGCAGAAAGTATTTGAGTCACTATTGTTCCGACTCCCTTAATATTTTTAGCTACAATACTTGGAATGCCAATTCAAAAGGCAAAATTATTGAGGCAAAGCAATGCAACCCTTTCATTAAAACTATCCATATGATATATATTTTATCATCTGGGTACAAAGGCAAAAAGTTACGATGCCGATATTTATATTCCATATGTTATGTCCTTAATTATTCAGCATATTATCTAAGTTCTTTCACAAAATTCATTGCATGAATCAATTTTCTACTTATTTGACGAAATTCACATTTTGCATTCCTCCTCATCTGTTATGAATGGCTAACAAAACTTAACTTCAAATGAGAGTCTGTTCTTGACAATGTGATTCTTGATTCAATTGAAGGTGGATTATAAAGTGGCAATCTATTCTTTACAATATTCTAATACAGATATCGAGAAGTCTTAGCTATATGAAGTTTCTTCATTTAATTTGATCCACTTTTATGTCCACTCCCAGATGTAACTTCATTTATAGGAGAATCATCGCCATATATAGGGTATATTTACATTTTCTAAATATTTTGATTATTTATTATTATAATCCCAAAAAATAATATAATATTACCTTTATTAATTGCTTCAAATTATACATAAACCTCCAAATTAATAATATTTATTCAAATTAATTCCCTTATTCTAAATAATTATTCATCATCACTTTAATTTTAGTTAATTTTAAACAATTAGACAATTCAATTACTTAAGAACTTGAAAATACTATATTATCATATCTCTATAATATTCATTAACAAACAACCTTATAAGAGATTAACATCATTTCATATATAATTTAAGTTGCAAAATTATATTTATAGATTAGTACAACTTATTAATTAATTTGATAAAAAAAGAATAAATGTGATAGAATTAAACATATCTCATTTTATTTATTAAATAATAAGGTATTAGAAAATTTATAAGTTTAAAAACTATACTTTAGTATTTCATTATATAAAAATATTTAATTAAATATTATTATAAAATTTAAAATAAAATGAAGCAATATCATCAATTAGTATAAAATTAATTAATCTATCTATATATTAAAAGATTTCAAGTATAATTGTTATAATAAATTATTTTTTGCTATTCTTATCTAAAAATTTTAATGATCAATAAATTAGACTATTATTTTATATTTTCTTTGATTATTTGTATCAATTCATCATCTATAGTGTTTTTTATATTAATTAATAATTTTAGTTATTTTTATATCTGATATTATTATATGAAAATAATCATCTTCATAATTATTTTCAAAATGGAATATATGTGATATTTCTTAAGTTGAAATTATATCATAAAAATAACATCATTAAGAATAATAATAAAAATAATATAATTTATTAGTCTAGATATTTTATAAACAACACAGGATTTCATTCTTCATTAACTTCTGCATTCTATTCTTAAGATTCAATTCTTGCTTTTAATTTTTGATCACCCTTTCTAAGCTTCTTTCTTTTCTTTAAGGCTAAAGTACTGAGATCTTGTTATTAAACGAAAACCTTTCCTCTTTTGTCACCTACTTCATCATAAACAATATTTTTTTCCTAAAATTATTAATACATTTATTTACATGTGGTTTAGCTTTTGGTTTAGGTTAACGACAAGCTTTCTTAAATAATTCATCATCTGCCCATTTAGTTCTTCTAATTTCAAAAATACTTCTAGGTCCAATTTCTTAAATTTTAATACCATCTTCATGATTCTATTTTTATAATACTGTTATTGCTAAACTTGTATCATTTGTTGCAGTAATACTTATAATTAAATGAATTTCTTATGATTTTATATCTTAAATAGGAACATTTTCATAAAAGAAATCTGTAAAAAGATTATGTAATTTCATATGATTTGGATTAAATCCAAAAACATCACCATTAAAAATAATTAATGGTCTTGCATGCATAGGAATTTCAACAGAAGTACCAAATTCTTCTTGACTTTTGAATTCTTTTAAATGTAATTCAACCATATCTAATATTTTTTTATCAAATGTTCTTCCAATAATAAGATTATCAGGACGTTTCTTTGAATTTGATACAAAACAAAACATTGAACATTAACTTCTTTCACAAAATGTTTCTAATTGTTTAGTATCTTCAAATGGTTAAATTTCATGATTCTTATTATATGTTGTACTAAAATCTCTTTTTATCAAATGCCATTCATGTGCCAATTATCTTACACTAAGAGAAGTCTTAGGACCTCGTATGAAGAGAGTTTGTTTTGGACCTTCAACTAATTTAGGTTCTCGAGACTCTAGAATTCTTTTGCCTTTATGAGTCTTAGCTCCTCTAGGTGTTGTTTCTTCTTGATCAGACATTATAATTTTAATTTAATTTAAAGAATTTTATAAATATAAATTTNATAAAGAATTTATTATTCTAAACAATTTTAATGATCTTAATATTTCTTGATATAGATAAATATCTGGGAAATTAATATATTTTGAATTAGATCTTATAAATATTTATCATTGATTTCTACCCACCATTTCTGAAATATAGGGCCCTTATGCCTTTATTACAATAAAATCTGCTATGGGATGAGGTAAGAATCTGACTAGATTTGATAATAACCAATAGAATGAAGGGATAGAATGTACATCTTTTTAATTTTCTATTGCATCAATAATTTCAATGGCAACTCTTTCTTCTTTTAATTCTGGTAGTAGAAAATCAATTTTAGATTTAACTCCTTTAAACATACCTGTATTAATTGCCCAAGGAGCAATAAATGTACATTTAACAGGACTTTTTTTCAATTTTAATTCAACTCTCAAACTATTATGAAAACCAAGTAGAGCATGTTTGGAGGCACAATATGCTGCTACTTTTAATCCTGTTATAATTGATAATACAGATCCTATATTTACTATATGTCCAAATTTTTAAGCTTCCATTTTAGGTATAAGTAATTTGGTTAGTAGAACTGGAGCAAGATAATTAACTGCATGAGTCAATTATAGATCTTGAAATGATTATTCTGAGAATAATTTTAGTTTAGCAACTCCAGCATTATTGATTAAAATATGAATTGGTTCATTGATTTAATTAATAGTTTCAATGATCTACTCTTATTTTGATAGATCACATTCATAAAATGATACTTTACCTCCATATTGTTCAATTGTATTTTTAAGATCAGCAATAAGATCTTTTCTAATGTCTAAGATAATTATTTTGCATTATTTCATTGCCAATAATTTACACATTTATTTACCAATACCCATGCATCCTCCTGTAATTAGAATAGTCATATTGGAATCTAGTTTGATTTTTTTTTATTTCCTAAGTAAAAAGTATGTCAGAAAAATAATGAAAAAAGTCAGGGTATAAGGAATAATCATAAATATAATATTATTTATAATTTATAATTTATAATTAGTTTAGATATTTATAAACAACACATGATTTCATTCTTCATTAACATCTACATTCTATTCTTAAGATTCAATTCTAGCTTTTAATTTTTGATCACCTTTTCTAAGTTTCTTTCTTTTTTTTAAGGCTAAAGTACTGAGATCTTGTTATTAAACGAAAACCTTTCCTCTTTTATCACCTACTTCATCATAAACAATATTTTTTTCCTAAAATTATTAATATATTTATTTACATGTGGTTTAGCTTTTGGTTTAGGTTAACGACATGCTTTCTTAAATAATTCATCATCTGCCCATTTAGTTCTTCTAATTTCAAAAATACTTCTAGGTCCAATTTCTTAAATTTTAATACCATCTTCATGATTCTATTTTTATAATATTGTTATTGCTAAACTTGTATCATTTGTTGCAGTAATACTTATAATTAAATGAATTTCTTATGATTTTATATCTTAAATAGGAACATTTTCATAAAAGAAATCTGTAAAAAGATTATGTAATTTCATATGATTTGGATTAAATCCAAAAACATCACCATTAAAAATAATTAATGGTCTTGCATGCATAGGAATTTCAACAGAAGTACCAAATTCTTCTTGACTTTTGAATTCTTTTAAATGTAATTCAACCATATCTAATATTTTTTTATCAAATGTTCTTCCAATAATAAGATTATCAGGACGTTTCTTTGAATTTGATACAAAACAAAACATTGAACATTAACTTCTTTCACAAAATGTTTCTAATTGTTTACTATCTTCAAATGGTTAAATTTCATGATTCTTATTATATGTTGTACTAAAATCTCTTTTTATCAAATGCCATTCATGTGCCAATTATCTTACACTAAGAGAAGTCTTAGGACCTCGTATGAAGAGAGTTTGTTTTGGACCTTCAACTAATTTAGGTTCACGAGACTCTAGAATTCTTTTGCCTTTATGAGTCTTAGCTCCTCTAGGTGTTGTTTCTTCTTGATCAGACATTATAATTTTAATTTAATTTAAAGAATTTTATAAATATAAATTAAATAAATTTATTTATATATAAGAAATTTACTATTTGATTAAAATGTCAATAATCGCTTTCTTCACTTTCCACCTCATCATCTTCATGTTCTGATTTGATATCATTATCTTCTAATGCCATTAAATTTCTCTCTCTTTCTCTATTATTATAAATTAGTAATTATACTCTTATTTTCTTTCTTCTTCTAATAATTTCCTTTATCTAGCTTTAATTTCTTATTATATTCTTAATTATTTTAATTGTTCTTTCTAAATATCTTTCTATGTCTAGGGTTCTAATCTTGGCTATTTGTATTTGTTTAAAGTAGGAGGTTTTCTGTTTTTCAATTTTTTGATATGATTACTCATTCTTATTTTGAATTCATCTTCTTTATTGGTATGTAAGTCTTTATGCTAGATGATGATAAATATAGAATGAATACTTTTTTGACTAAGAATGATGTTAGAATATCTGTAAATTCAAACAACAATAATTCATATTTAATAATAGATGTAGATTTTTCTAAAGTCTTCCTTTGATCTTTTTCAGCAGTCTAATCTTATTATTTCTTTCTACGTTTATTTCCATCTTCTCTGACTGTTTAATTAACAGAGGATTAATCAATTTATGAAATAGATTATTATGTTATTTGTCCTTCATCAGTATCAAAGTTTTTATCAACATAACTTATTAAAATAAGTTTATCTTATTCTGAAGCATTTAATAACTTATATATTTATTCTAAATTAATAGTTCTATCAGTAAATCCAAATTAAGTCTCTCTATTTTCAATAGACCATACATCAAATATAGGTTTAACTTCATCAATAAAATCACCAATAATAATTTTAGGATGAGTAGATTTTTTAGTATCATCCAAAGATTAATTCTATTTACCCTTTTTTCTTTCAAAATATGGAGTCAATTTACTAATTATTACTCTTTCAATTGCTCTATGTAAATCAATTAGATTGCCATATTTTAAATATGATAATCTTACAATTAATTCAATAAAATGTCTAAATAAAATACATCTTCTAGGATCATGAATATCTTCAACTTTCTTTTTAAATGTTACATCTTTAAGTTAGAAATCTTGATAATTTATTTTTTCAGTTGATAAACAATCAAAAGCCATTTATTAATGAAATAAATCATTAAGTTCTTACAAATTAATATTACTACCTTATCTACTAAGTACATCTATTNTGCCTTTATGAGTCTTAGCTCCTCTAGGTGTTGTTTCTTCTTGATCAGACATTATAATTTTAATTTAATTTAAAGAATTTTATAAATATAAATTAAATAAATTTATTTATATATAAGAAATTTACTATTTGATTAAAATGTCAATAATCGCTTTCTTCACTTTCCACCTCATCATCTTCATGTTCTGATTTGATATCATTATCTTCTAATGCCATTAAATTTCTCTCTCTTTCTCTATTATTATAAATTAGTAATTATACTCTTATTTTCTTTCTTCTTCTAATAATTTCCTTTATCTAGCTTTAATTTCTTATTATATTCTTAATTATTTTAATTGTTCTTTCTAAATATCTTTCTATGTCTAGGGTTCTAATCTTGGCTATTTGTATTTGTTTAAAGTAGGAGGTTTTCTGTTTTTCAATTTTTTGATATGATTACTCATTCTTATTTTGAATTCATCTTCTTTATTGGTATGTAAGTCTTTATGCTAGATGATGATAAATATAGAATGAATACTTTTTTGACTAAGAATGATGTTAGAATATCTGTAAATTCAAACAACAATAATTCATATTTAATAATAGATGTAGATTTTTCTAAAGTCTTCCTTTGATCTTTTTCAGCAGTCTAATCTTATTATTTCTTTCTACGTTTATTTCCATCTTCTCTAACTGTTTAATTAACAGAGGATTAATCAATTTATGAAATAGATTATTATGTTATTTGTCCTTCATCAGTATCAAAGTTTTTATCAACATAACTTATTAAAATAAGTTTATCTTATTCTGAAGCATTTAATAACTTATATATTTATTCTAAATTAATAGTTCTATCAGTAAATCCAAATTAAGTCTCTCTATTTTCAATAGACCATACATCAAATATAGGTTTAACTTCATCAATAAAATCACCAATAATAATTTTAGGATGAGTAGATTTTTTAGTATCATCCAAAGATTAATTCTATTTACCCTTTTTTCTTTCAAAATATGGAGTCAATTTACTAATTATTACTCTTTCAATTGCTCTATGTAAATCAATTAGATTGCCATATTTCAAATATGATAATCTTACAATTAATTCAATAAAATGTCTAAATAAAATACATCTTCTAGGATCATGAATATCTTCAACTTTCTTTTTAAATGTTACATCTTTAAGTTAGAAATCTTGATAATTAATTTTTTCAGTTGATAAACAATCAAAAGCCATTTATTAATGAAATAAATCATTAAGTTCTTACAAATTAATATTACTACCTTATCTACTAAGTACATCTATTTCTACATTTAGTTCTTATCTATCATATTTTAATCTATAATTATTTTTAGATCCTTATAAAAAATTTCTATTCAACTCAGCCAATGAATAATTTTGATTCAATAATTTAGCCTAAATTAAAAATATTAAATTACATCTCTTGCAATCTTCCAAAATCCTTCTAAACTCAAAGAGAAAGTATCTTCATAGAGCATACTTTCAAATTTATTAGCAAAGAATTTATAATGTGTTTTAAGTGTATAATTGTGTCTCAATAACATAGTTTAAACATTTTGATCAATTTATTAAGTATCTAATTACAATCCTTTATATAAATCTGAGAAATCAATCATATAAGAATAAGGATTAGTTTCTATTGTTTTATTAAGATTTGTTTAAGTTTGATTTGGATTATTTATACCTGCTAATTTTTCAGGTCTCTTTGTAGTATTACCCAATTTATTTTTATCTTTATCTTTATCTTTATTATCTTTGTCTTTATTATCTTTATTATTATCTTTGTTATCTTTTTTTCTATCTTTATTATCTCCTACTTCTTTAGGGTTTTCATTCTATAAGATTACTTCACCACCTTAAGGAGCAATTTCTCTAGGTAAAATACCAGTTCTAGACTCATTTTCAGTGGTTGCATAAACTTTTATTAATCTATCTTATTTAAATTCTCCAAGTATAAAACCACCTGTATCTGTTATAAATAGAGCAACTCCATATTTAAGATTGTTTTTCCAACTTCCCATATATTTAGCTCCATTTGCATAGTAAAAGACTCCAACTCCACTTCTTTCTCCATTCTCCCATTCTCCTTCATATCTATTTCTCAGATATTTAGAACCTTCTCCTTTAGGTTCAATCCATAAATGAACTCCCCAACCATTTTATACATTATCTTTCCATTCTCCATAATACTTTTCATTTGAATTCAACCAAAACATCACTCCATATCCTTCTTTCTTATCCATTAAGAAATCTCCATCATAATAATTACCAGATGGATAAATCATTTTACCTTTCCCAGATTTATTCCCTTAATAAAATTGTCCTTCAAATGTGGCACTAAATTTAAAATATGACAATTATACCCACTTTTGAAAGCAATTTTACCAAAACCATGTCTTAAACCATTCTCCCATTATCCTTCATATACAGCTGATTTATCTGCTGTAACAAACTTGCCTTATCCATGTCTAAGTCCATTCACTACAGTGCCAGTATAAGTTGAACCTTCTGGCCAATAATATGTTCCTTATCCTTCAATTTTATTGTATGTGAATTCACCCTTATAGATTACTCCAGACGCCCAAGTAAATGTGCCCTCACCTAGTTTATTGTAAATTACTAGAACCATGTAACATCCCATTATGAAACTCTCCTTCATATTTATTCCCATTTTTGAATGTAACTTCTCCTTTCCCATGTAATGCTTTGCCATAAACTTAATCAGGCTGATCTAAGATGGCCAAATCAGCATCCCACTTATCATAAATAATCTTGGCTAAATCCAGAGGGATAATCAGATTTTTTGGATCCTCTTTGAAATTCATATTATAATATAAATATTAATAATTTATGTAATACTCAACAATACATATAAATGATTTAATTATTATGAATAATTTTGCACTTAATGAAATTGCTATAAATATCAATAAGTACTTTTTCTGAAGTCAGAAACACTTAATTTATAAAAAAAGTAAAAATTTTCGTATTTTTTTATAAAGCCAATTGATATCTATAAGTTAAATTCATATGATTACTTTAAGATATTTACTTAATTATCAATTTCTGATGGATTTTTAATCTCTGAAGAGAAAATACATCATGATATGATAAATTACAAGATATTTATTTCAATTAGAGAATAAAATTGTTAAAGATAAGTCTAATACATGATAGGAGATAGAAAGATGAATAATATATAAATTAATTTGGTAGAAGAATATGGCATATAAATAATATTGAACTTTTTAAAGAAAGATTTGGGATAATAATAGTTATATTAGTAAAGAATATTATCTGTAGAGGGATGAAGGTAATTATAAGTATAATTAATATTCAGAAATATTTGATAGAATTAATGAATTTACATATATAAATATCCATTTCTTATTGTTCTAAAGTTTAATAATAATTTTAGAATATATGTTTGAGTGTCCAATATGTTTTATAACTTATGATAACAATCAAGCCTTTACATTTCCTTCCTGTTTTCACACTTTCTGTAAGAATTGTTTAAAATCAAATTTCGAAAATAAAATAAAGGAACAAAATATAAGTTTAGACACTTTTAAATGTCCTGGATGTGAAAAGCTTTTCGATTAAAGTTTAATTTAGAATTTTGTTTCATAATAAATATTCAAGAAATATTGTGAATTAAGTATAGAAATGAATCAAATCTTTGGTTTAGAAGAAAATGAAATATTAACTAATTGTTTAAACGAGGCTTGTAGAGAGAAATATATAATTTGGAAAAATGCAGGTATTATATAATTAATATATTTAGAATATTAAAATTGTATTAAATGTAAAATGTAATATTGTCGTTTATGTTTCTTACCATAACACAAGAATGAAAGAACTTGTGAAGAATAAAAAATAATATATTAGGACAAAGTTTATAAAGATTTAAAAGTTCTTTTAAAAGCAAGCAGATGTCCTAAATGTAGGGTTATGGTAGAAAAGGTAGCAGGTTGTAATTTTATGACCTGTAGATGTGGTACTAATTTTTGTAATATATGTGATGTTTAACTTGAGAAACAAGTAATAATGTATATATATTAAAATAAGGATCATTATTCTCATTTTGAAGGAAATAGTCCTTTTAATAATAAATGCAAAATAAAAGTGAATGGATAATGGGTTACTAGACCAGTAGTGAAAGAAGTTTAAAAGGTTGAAATGAAAAATGTAATTTAAGCAGATGTAAAAGCAGTTAATCATATACCATGTCCAAATTGTAACTCAACTAATCCTAAGGTTACTTAACTTTAACTTTTTGATATTATTGTTCATTGTAACAGTGTAAAATGCTAAAATAGAGCATATTGTTTAACATGTAAGAAAATGGTTCCTCATTAATAAATATTAAATCACTATACAAATACATTAGAATGCAAATTTAAATGAATTTGTTTAATTATATTCTTAAACATAATCCAATATTTATCAATTACTGTATTATTTAATTATAATGTTTAATATAATAGGAGAACTTTGGAAAGCATAATAATTTGCAATGTATGAATGCTGTTTCGAAGTTCCATAAACATTCTATTTGCAAGGTAGCAAAATATCTCATTATTTTACCAGTTCATAATGTTCTGGTAAAATATTGAAAAAAAGAAAAGAGAATGTTACTTTAAAAAGTATATTGGACACATTCAATTCTAAAGAAAAGTATGTGTGTTCATTTTAGAGATTATTGAATAAGAAAGATGTTTAATTTAAATATTTAACACGTAATGAACTTGAAGCACTTATATCTGACATCACTAATTTTTCAGAACTATATTAAGATGTGATCATTTAATAAATATACTCAAGTGAAAACTTTATTACATATTCTCGATAAGGTCATGTCACTTTAATTTAATAAAGGATACCTTTATCGTTAGAACCATTGATTACTTTGAAAGATAGTTAATTTGCATGTGAAAAAGTGTTATTTGAAACAAGAGTAAATAAAATAGGAATTACAATTGAAAAATTAATTAGTTTAAATGAAAGTTAAAAAGTAAATGAAATTGAATTATTTATGAAATATGTTGGAGATAAATTAATTATTATGTGGAACACCAATCTTTAATGTAAAAATATTAAAAGAACTCTTAATTTCATTAATTCATTTAATTATTTACATAATTAAGAATAGTTTGAATAATTTTAACCAAAAAAATAAGTAACAGATGAAATCACTATGATTTAATGTTTTAGTTGTAGAAAATTAACTAAAGTTAATGATACATTTGAAGTATTGAAAAATAGAATTTGGAAAATAAGAATGCATAGAAATCTTCATCATTTGAATGATTAAAAATTACATTTAGATGTAACAGGGAGAATTGTACCAAAATTTGATGAATTTCAATTTGTGAGAGTATGTGGATTATGTTATAATAGTTTTATTGAAACAATTTCAAATAATAATACTAAAAATGAAAATACTTAAAGGAAATTGACACAAAAATAATAAGATCTATAATCATTTATGTAGTAAAATGGTCCTAGAAGGAAATTGTTTAAAATTAATGATAATTAAACTTATTTGGGAAGTCGTACAAATAGTGCTTAAATAAAGGATAAGAGAATGACACCATAAATAATGAATTCTACATTTGATGAAAATTATGATAGCATTTAAAATTAAAGAATAGAAGTAGATGATGAATTTGATTAATTATTAAATGAAGTTAAAAATGATATCAGAAGTTCTTACTAATCAAATAAAATAATGATTAATAAAACTAGAATACAAAGTGCTTAAAACAATCACAAATTTAAATTATATTACTAATGACATATAAATATATATATAATTATATATAATCAATCACAAACTAATTTAAGTATTTCTAATGAATTAATATCAAGTTATTTTTCATTCTAAAAATTTTTAATTTATAAAATACCAACTAATTAATTACTCTTATATACTTAGATACAAATTTAATTGTTTATTAGATATTCTATTTTTATTTATTATAAATCTTAAGAAAATCTTCAAATTAATCTTCTTATAGATCTTTATTAAAAAGTACTGATACTATTGAAAAGGAGAGATCTTCTAAAGTATATTTTAAATAATTATGGTCTAGAACAATAGTATTAATAATTTAATTTATGATTTTATTATTTTGTTCTGATTAGATTTTTAAATGGGGAAAAGTAATATAAAATCTGTAAATAATTTCATACATTATATCTTATAAGGTTAAGGGATTAGTGTGCCAATCTAATACATTAAGAATTAGTCTCTCATATTATATTAATTATTGTTTGGTCATATTAAGTGATGACTATGATAAGAGTTAACTAATATTTGGAGTTTCAGTATTCATTTTAGTAATTACAAAGATTATAGCTAAGGAGAGAAATCTTAATTGTGTTTAATTGCTTATGGTTTTACTTTAAAGTTTGCAAAGGAACAAATCATAAAGATATATAGCTTTATGAGAAAAAGAGTTATTCAAATTCTGACAATTATCTTAAATTCGATTTAAAATAATAGCTCTTGTTTTATAGTTATATTCTTTCTCATTGTATTCTTATAAGTAAAGAGGATTGATATTGTAGAATTCTTTCTATATTGGGATTGGAGAAGATTTAGTCTAAAAAGTAATTGGTGCTGATTCATCATTTTGTATACTTTCATAGCAATATAAATCGTCTTCATAGATATGAATAGTGCTTTCAGTAGTTAATTTGACTTTCTATTATAAATTGTAAGAATTAATACCTTAATAATTTATGGAGATTGTAATAAATAGTTAAATTAAGCCAAATCCTAAGTAGTTGTTTAAGTATTGGCACATCTTTTGAGACTATTTGATTTAGTGGATGAAGCAAAATAATCTATGGATTAGTTGTAATATCTTACTTGATGACCCTACATAATTAAGTCCTAGCATCAGTTTAAATCTTTTATTGTCCATCTTCATTAATTATTTTATGGTTAGAAATCCTTTTAATAATTGCCTTTTTATTTTAAGATGAGCGCAATTTTAAGATTTTTGTGTTTAATTTGTATTTTGGAACCAGAAAAGTAATTTATAAATTTTAATAATTATATTGTCAATCTACAAATTTCTTTTCTTTTTGTTTTGAAACTAAAAAGAGTAGTACTAAAGTAAATGCTTTTTATTAATAAAAATGAGACAATTAGTTTAATCAATAGAATTAATTGATTAGTTGAAGAAATAAAATAGTTTACAATCTAAATCTAATTCTTTTATGTATAATATTCTCATTTCCTTCATAAGATAATTTATATTCATCACTTAATCCTAATATATATTAATTACTTAATCCTAATAAAAATTATAAACCATAAAAAGTAAGAAATATTTCTTATAGCAATCAACATAACTATATCTATTTATATCAATTATTAATTAAAACAATCTATTATCTATGCTTTACTTAATTAATTTAAATATCTTTAATTCCAAAAGAAAACACTACAATCAATAACTTTAATTATTAGAGATTATAAAATTATAATCTCTTTTTTATTAAGTCAAAATGACAACAGATGATACATTTATTCATTATTAAATATTCTTATTTGAGAATTCTTCCTTTGTTATCTTCATGATTATGATTATATCTCCTATAAATATTTAGTCTTTATATAAACAAATATATTTATTATTATATTATTTAAATATTTATATTATTTATAATTTCATTAAAAGAATTAACTCAATAATCCACCAATACCTTATGATTATTATTCTTTTTCTTTTAATCCAAAGTATTTCACTCCTACTTTATAATATAACTAATTATAATAATTTTATACATCTTAAAAGATTGGATCTGCATCAATAACAACCTTAAATTTATTAAAAATTAAATCATATGCTTCTCTACTTTAAATTCTTATTGATTTCACTAATAAATGAATAAATAGAGCCTCTTATGTAACTGTTGTAGGAATCAATTCATTCAATATTTTAACACTCTCATTGTATAATCCTTGACCAAGTTTACTAATTTTATTTAATCTAAAATATTACATTAACAAATATCTGATTAAATTATATTATCTTTCTTATTCAGACAATTACTAATTCCATTTTAGCAACATCTAAATTTCTGTATTTACATCAGATAATTATATTAAATATCTCCATGCTAAATGAAATTTATTATGATTGATTAGATCTACACCCACTTATTGACAAATCTAATCTTTATAATTTGGATATTTCTTAAGCACTTTATTTATGAATTGAACTTTTAATTTACTGAATTGAGCTATAGAATAAATTGACATGATCTCAGCTTAGAAATTAATGGATCAATCTTACCAATATTTTGAGAATCCAATTCATCTGATATTTTGATTACTTCTGTTGCTAAATTAAATCCTGAATTGTCTTAATTGTTCTTAACTAATACTTTGCTTGCTTATAAATATAGAATAATAGCTCCATCTTTATTTTATTAATTAATAAATCTGGATCCAAAAGTCAGTATTTTTTATTCATATTCATAATATTTCTATTCTTTTATCAATTATTCTTATTTAAGCAGAATCTAAAGTATTAATCAATTATTACTTATTGCACTTTATCAGAATTTTATGTTTCGACGTTCATATAAATTTATATTATTTAATAATAATTCAATTAATTATGTTAGATTCTTCTTTGACTTATAATTGTGTAATATTTTAGAAATTCTAAAATTATTTAGATTATATTTACTTAGATCATCATCATTAATTAAAAATTTACCATTTTTTGTTAAGCCAACTCTCTTTAACAATAAGCCAAAGCAATTTATGTATTATCAAGATTAGGTGTACTCATTACTGGAATCATTATTTATTAATAAGGTTGAACTTAAGGTTTCATTTCAGGAGACGTGGATTTTATTTATAAAGGTTATTCGAGATTATACATTGATTAAATCTTCCTAGTCTGATTGTAATCTCCTAAATCCTATTTACTCTTATTTCGATCTCTTGTCTTTTTTTTACCTACACGACCTTCTTTTCTATAAGTTTACAATATTGCCTTAGCAGTTGAGAAATTTATTCCAAATTCTTAAGCTGCCTCTTTTATTGTTGATTATTTCGAGAGTATCCGACGTAATAATTGAATACGAACAGATTAATCAATTATTGCATATTTTTTATTGTCTCTATTTCTTAATTCTTCATTATTCTCTTAATGTCTTGTTTATAAATGAATAAAAATACTCTGACTATGGTGTGAAACTGTTTATACTCTCTTCATCTGAATGAATCATTTATTTTTATAATGAGATAAATTTATATATAAAATTATAAAGATTTTATTTAATACACTAAGTCAACTATTATATTTTAACTTAATATCATTTATATATATCTAATTAACTCTATGACATAATTAATTGAATGTTTTTCATTTTAATAATTTATATGAAAATATCTATCCATCAAAACTTACTTATATATATGGAATATATCTTATTGTTATTTAAAAATAAGAATATAATCTATAATAATTCTTATCTCAAAAACTTGAAAGTTAAACTTTTATTATTGATAATTTCGTTTTATTCTAATTTTTAATATATCTGTGAACCATATTAATTTCTTATAGAAATAAATAAATTTAATTCTTAATCTTTTTAATCTTAAATTTAATAATTTTCTAGGATCATATTCACTATTTAGTTTCTCTTTACTAATTTATATTATATAAATATTAATTAAGAATCAAGTCTGATATATTGTTATTATTTATACTATATTCTTTCTTTTTGTATAGAATTATAAATATTAATAAATTTCATTAAATATAATTGAATTAACATTAAAAATCAAAATAATTTCTATTTATCTAAATCTGATCCCATAAAATTATTAGTCAATTCTCTTTTAGCTTTTTGACTTAATACTTCATATAGATTCTACACTTAACTAACCTAAAATTCAATCAATTTTCGTTTAAATTAGTTTTCTTATAAAAATCTATCAAATCCTTCATTTGTATCTATTTCCATTTCTTGATTTTTATATCTACTTCTGGCTGTATCAAAATATGTATTCAATTCTCTTCCCATTAAATTTATTCTCTTTTTTAATATTTAATTTGATATTTTATGTTCATCTTCAAATAATTCACATTTATCCATTATAGTCTTTATTTTTTAACTAAAATCAGTATTTGGAACATTAATTGGAGATCTACTATCATTAAAAGTACCTATAGAAGTTGTCATTTAACTTGGTTTTAGTTCTTAATGCATAGAAGTTTATGGTGACATTGGCACAGTAGTTGGTTATGATATAAATATATTATTAGAAGGTGTAAATTATTATGAAAGTGTAACTTTATGTTTTGATTCTGGTGTTTTAATTTTTGTATGAAAGAAATGTTTAGTAGTATTATTTTTTGATGTACGATGAGATTTACTTTTAAATATTTCAGCAAACATCTTATCCTAAATTTCTTTTTATTTTTTTATTTTACACATATTAATTTATCCTTATTTCTTAAATTCTGGTTCAAATTAATCATATCTGGTTTCTTTATAAATATTTACAAGATTTTAATTGTATTATTATTCTAATTTCATCAATTATTCTAGTTCTTCTTATTTTATTCTCTTTTAAATTAGTTCCTTCAATATTTATTCTTAATTATCTAATTTTTATTCTTTCTTTTCAACATCTACTTTTAATAGTTTACCTACATCAATCTCAGGATGATTCTTACAAATTTCTGTAAGAAAATATTTAACTTATTCATCATCTTCTAATTCTACATGATTTAATTCATTTAATTAATATGATTTTTTAGCTTATAATTTTACTAAGTTAGCTTTTAAATTAGCTAATTTGTATTCCTAATACAATGGACTAATTTAATGTTATCTAAGTAATTCATCATTTAAATAAGAAGCTAATCTAACCTCAGGTTTTACTGGTGGTGATCTAAATTTATAGCGAAACTTTTTATCTGCATCATCATCTTTCTAAACTGATAATGATTTACGTTTTAAAGAAGCCTTTCTTTTGATTTTCTATCCCTCAGTATTTTTATCTTTTGGGATTTTTATTTTTAAGTTCATAATTCGCTTAGCTGATAAATCGTTGCTGCCACTTTAAACTAATAAATTCATACAATACATCGTAGATCAGCTAATTTTTTGTTTATGAAAAGAACAAAATTTTAATCAGTGAAATCATCATAATAAACTGGCTTTTGTCTAATTGGGAATTGTTGAATAGTTTTCTTAACCAAAAATCCTTAAAAACTCATTTATTAATTAAATAAAATTAATAATTTTTAGCAACTTAATAATAAAATATTTATATCGTTCAATATATTTTCTAACCAATTTTAATCCTATGATAAATACTTAAGGATATATAGTACATAATTTCAAATTATTTAATTAATAAAAAATTATATAAGATTTATATATTAATTAAATAGATTATGTAAAGAATAAATAAAAGATTCAATTCAATAACTTAATCTTATGAATCTAAATATACTATGATAATATATAATCACTAATAATAATTTACTATTATTAAAACTAATAAGTATAAAAGAAGAATTCACTTTATTTTAATATATTACAAGTATTAATCCTTCTAATGTTAAGAAAGTTAAATGTCATAACATCAACTTTAAAAAATAAACATATATGATTTCTCAAAAATACTCAGAATAATAAATGAATTATTTTTAATATTTTTTTTTCATTTATTTGAATATGAATTCATGATTTAATCGAAAATCTGCTTTTAATAGATTAAAAGATTCCTTTATTTTCTTAACAACTGCATTTAGAATCATTACATCCTAAACAAATACCTTTATTACATTTGGTACATTTAATGGTACCTTCAAATTAAAATGTTTTAATCCATTTTTTACAATGTGGACATTCCTTATAATTATCACCATTTTTAAATTAATTATTATTATTTATTTAACATTTATTAATTTCATGTTATTAAGAAAAGCATCGAAGACAGTATTTCTTTTTGCAATTTTAACATCTATAAATTTCTTATCCTTAAAATACAAATTTTTTTCTGCATTATGGTGTTGGACAACAAGAAACTACTTATTATGAATTATTTTGTAATTGATTCAATATTTCATCTTTTAATGTTTAAGTTTCACAAAGTGGACATTGATAAGCTTAAAATATTTCATTTTGTATAGTTAAACTTGGTAATACACATTATTAATGAAATAAATGATTACATTGCATTTAGATTATTTTCATTCTATCTTGCTTATGTACTTACTAATTACAAACTTAGCAAACTTCATTTTTAACATTTTATTAAGAAAATCTTCTTAAAGAATTTTATACACTTTATAGAACATCAGCCAACTCAAAATTATTTATATAATTACAATTTCTTTTTAGTTTATTATCCTATCATAAATATTATCTCTAATGAAAGGACTAAATAGACTATTATCAATTTTCTGTTTAATATTCTTTAATTATTCTACTACACTCTTTAAGTCATTAAAATCAGAAATATTTCCTCTTCCTATTTCAATTCCTATCACTAAAGCATCTATTAATAGCTCTTATCCTCTCTATTCAGTAAGTTTTATTATTTCAATGATATCGTATAATTTCATTTTATTATAATATTGAAATAAGAATCATTTATATACATATTCTGCAATAATATTAATTATTTATTAGAATTCCTTATACCTAAATGAAATTTATCATTAAATCTAAAATAAAAAGATGCAATAAAATAGTATAAGTCGAAGAAATTCAAAAGAAATTTAGTTAATGTTAAATAGATAAAATTTAATTTATAACTCTAGCAAATATTTCAAAGAAATATGAATAATTTCTTTTAATTCATAATATAAAATCTTGAATATATAATATGAATACTATATATTAAAATGTTTGTTTTAATAATAAACCACATAAGTAAGAATGAATAAAGTATTTGAATTGGAGATTATAATATAATTTAAGTATTAAGTTTAAAAAATTAAATCAATGAAAATAACTAAATCTAAACATTCATATATGTTTAAATATCTATTAGAAAATTAGATAGTATCATCATAGAAATTTTCTTTGAATAAAATTTGGCTAAAATTAAATCGGAAGTGGAAGTTTAAAGTTCTTAAAAAATTAGGAACATATAAAAAGTTACTATTTTATAGATTTCAACTAAAAGTGTTAAAAAGTTATCATATAATTACTATAGATATTAATTTAAATTAGGATACCTAACTTATATATTATATCCTAATAAATAAATAAAATATAGTTAGATTGAAATTTTATTAGGATAATAATTTAAATATTCTTACAGTAGATTAGATTGTAAATGTATATTCATATCATTGTATTAGATAATAAAGATTCACAAAATGACATTAAAAAATGTTTATAATGAAAAAAAATTAATAATTAAATATTTTATACAAAAACCATAGAAAATCTGGAAATTTTAGATTAATATTATTGATCAAAAATAATCAAAAGAGATAGTTTATTAGCTTATGAGAAATTTGATAAATGAATAATGAAATTAGGAAACAAGAATATGAATATTTTGATTATCAACAGTTGAAATATGGAAAAATAAATAGATTACCTTTGAAAATTAATAAATTTATGTAAAAATATATTAATTTAAATAGTCACTATCCAAAAGAGTATGCAGAGAGAAACAATAAGTTGTGTAAAAAGAAAGTCTTAACTTGATTATATTTATAATAATAAAATTTGTTCCAGAATTTCTATGGTTTATTTAGGGATGTTCAGATGGAATAATAATAATGAAAAATCATTATGACACTTTGGGCTTAGAGAGAGATGCTAAACCTAACCAAATAAAGTCGGCATATCATAAATTGGCCCTTTAGTGGCATCCAGTATTAATTTGCTGATGTCTTTTTAGGATAAGAATAGTGATTTTGGGGCAACACATTAATTTAACTAAATAAACGAAGCCTATACTACCCTATCCAAAGAAGAATTGAAATAAAAATATGACAGAAACCTCTAAACGAGAGATAATTTCAATGAACTGTTAAACTAAATGAAATTCTAACAAGAAGAAACAAATTTATAATATGATATTAGATATGATTTTATATCCAAAGAGGATCGAGAATTCATAAGAAACTTTTCAAATAAACAAGAAACAGAATAAATTAAAAAAAAAAGAATAAGAAAAAAAAAATGAAATCTTACCATTACAAATTAAATTAAAAAAAACATAAATTGGATCAGAAATATTTGTTTCTTTAAATGTAGATTATATAACTGATCCACTCTATTGTCTTTAATTAATAACTAATTACTCTTATTCTAATATATTTAATGTACAAATATTATCAGTAAATAGTATTCTACATTATTATCCATAGTAATTAACCTAATTTTAATGTGTTCTTTCATATATACCTTATATCAACAATAAACTATTTAATTATAAATTCTTAAATACATAAATTCAAATATATCTTAATTTTTTAAATGATTCTTCTCTAACGAATATATTTACATAATCTACTAATTAATAAATTATTAATGTCTTTCTATCATTATTATTATAGTATTTAAATATTTATGTTTTTTGTGTCAACTGTCTTTAAATCCTCATCATTTAAAACTATAATAATTCTTAAGTTTTTTTGATTATAAACATCAATATCGTTAGAAAACTGCAATTATTGAATCTATTTAATCATAAATCTTAATTAGATAACTTATAATTTAAGTAAAAATAATGTATCTTAATAAGTTTATTTTAATGATTATTATTCTATAGAATTATTCAATAGATTATTAAAATATTTTGAAAAATTAAATTATATTTATATATTTAAGTGTTTTCTAATTTCATTTAAATTAATACATTTACTATATTTGATTGAATGAATTAATGAATGAATTAAATAAACTTAATTTAACAAAAAATATAGTTACTTAAAATAATTAGATATTTGAAATATTAATGTAAATATTCAATGAACTTAACTAAGAACTACTGTATATGATTTTATAATTGTTTAGATTAAGCTTTCTTTTCTTGTAATTTTCATAATCAATTGATGCAATCGTGAGTATTATAATTTAATCATTCATTCTAATATTCTCACCTTAAGATTTTGAATATTTTTGGACTTCTAATTATCCTACTAATAAAACTCACCTATTCTAGATGATGCTATTCTAGTTTTTCTTTAATTTAAATAACTATTTATAATTGTAATTTCTATTTTTGAACCTATATATTTTTTGATTAAATCTTAATTATATTTATATTCAACATATTTGTGATATTCTTATTTTTACTATATGTTTCTATCTTTCATTTCCAGAAGTTATAAATACTATTTTATGCAAACAGATGATTTATGAAGATAAATGATGCATAAGTGTTTTTGTTAATGATTATTAAATAATTGATTGTCATTTAGAGAAACTCATATACAAGGATATTTAATTATTAAATAAACTAATATATATATATAAATAATTATTTAGACATCAATTCTAAAGAGAGTTGATTATAAATTCAATTAAAAATAATGAACTCTTTCTTAAAGTCCTATTTAAATAATATTACATAAAAATAAAACAACTTTAAATGAAGTTTTCTAGATCAACCTCAACTCATCTTACTAATTTATCATTTAGGTCAAATAATCTTAGCACTGTTTAAACACCTTAAAGTAATTCACGTTTGAGTGAGGTCAATAATAAAATTGATGATTTATTAAAAAAGTCATCAACATAGATTGAGAAATAAGAATTTAAATTTTCATCTCAAGAAAGAAAGATTAATTAAAGTTAAAATTGTTCTCTTGTTATTGAATAAATATAAAAAGAAAAAAAATAATTGTTGACAATCCTATTATAGAAAGATAGCATTATTAGAGATTAGTAGAATAAGATTACATAATTAGATTTATAGAATAAGAATTTAATGAAATAATTACAATAATTTACTAATCTACAACCATAAATGGAACAATTGGAACAATAATGTTAATAAATTATTAAGCAAAATGAATAACTGAAATATGAGAAAAATCAAATATAAATATCTCTTAATTATTTGAAATGCTAAAATATTTAAGTAATAAGTCACGAATTAAAGAATTCCTTGTAATAATTACATTAATAGATAAAAAAATATTATATATGCAGTTATAAAGAAGACTATTATAATTTAGAGTAAAGTAGAATGACTCTAAGAATGAGCGACTTAGATTTCTATACAATCCTAAGGGAATGTTTAGATTGCATTTTATTTATGATTAAAAATACTGATCATTCGATAGAATAATATCTAAATAGAAATACTAAAATTTGATTAATACTATTTAATTAAATATGACATATAAATCATTATCTAATTTTTATATTCAATATTATAAAATAGTGATATTATAGATTATAATCATATTTCTGCAAATTATCCTTATAATATTTGATTTCTTAATTTTTATAATCTTTTCCTTTTTACATTATCAATACTCTCTTTTTCTTTCTATAATGTTTATAACATAGAAAGAAATTTATTTTTCTATTATTAACTTTATCTAACACTATAATGTAGTGATTTTTTGAGTTCATTTTATGTATCATCCAAAAATTTTTAACCTTATATAGTATTATTTAATTTCTCTGATTTTTCTTCTAACGATCTATCTCGATTACTCATTAAAAAATATAAAGTCTAATTAAATTTATCTACTTAATTTGTTTTTTATTAATAATTTTCACTTATCGTAGTGTGAATTCTATTTTAATAATAACAATAATCCTTTCCTTCATGTTTTATTTTACAATTCTTTGGTTGTTAAATTTATTACAATTCACTTATATCTTAATCTTCCATTTCTTAAATATATTAATCATTTATCTTAAATTTTAATTGTTCCAATCTGTTTTTACATGTATTTACTTTCTTTTTGCAATTTTAAATACAATTTTCAATTTATATTTAATCTTTCATTCCAAAATATTCATCTAAATCTGGTATATCTATGGAATATCTATAAGACATAGGAATTTAATGAAATCTAATACATTTTTTATTCTTTGCTTATTTAAGTCTATAAAATCTTTAATTATTAAATTTACTATACATTTTATTCAAACAAAAGGTCTCTCAACATTGTTTTTGGATTTCTATGAATAAAAGCACTTCTATCATATTTCTTCTCTAATGTAGTTACAGCTCTTTATGCTCTAGTATTTTTCATAATGTGATGATTAATTAATTAACAATAAGAATATAAATTATAAAAATGAATATAATAATAATAATAATTTATATTTCATTAATTAAATATTATTTGTTTAAATAATAATGTATAAAATATAATAGAAGAAAATTAAATGGATTTATTTAGTAATGATAATAATGCAAGTATTAGGTTAGGAGACAGAGTATTGCAAAGTAAATGATAATTAAAATTAATTAGTTGTAAAATTAGGATAATAATTTAATAACAATAGCAAAAAATGAAAATTATGATTTTTATCTATATGACTATGTTATTGCAGATGATCTAACTTATAATTTTAAAACTGATTCTTCTTCATTATTTTCTCCTCCTTTTTAATTTATGATGAAAAAAAAAAAAAGTGGAATTTTGAGTGATGATGTTATTGAAATTATTACAATATATGAAAATAATTACAACAAACAATATTATTATTGTTTTTCAAGATCTATTTAGAATGATTAAATAGTTTATAGACTATATAAATGTAAATTAGATTCTAAAAAGGAGGATTTAAATATTGAAGTTGAATTCTTTATTATAAGAAATCACTGTCATTAAATAGGTTATTCTAATGGCTATTATTTAATTACATGTTAAAATATAGAGACAAATTAACTAGAATTAATATTTTTTCATCCGAACACTAAATTATATTAAACTATTTTAATAAAGGATGTTATAGTACCTCCATAATCAAAAGTTAAACTTAAAATATCAAATTTATATTTTGGAATTTTGATTAGTAAAGGGAGAATAGAAAATAATGAATATATATCAGAAGATTCTTAACTTTATTTCTTTTTTGTTAATTTTTTAATGTTGATAAAATAAGAAAGTTATGAAAAATTAGTGTTATATAAGTAATATTAAGTACTAAATGAACCTGATGATTATGTTACTGATTTTGCAATATAATTTGAAATTGGTAAACTTTATATTGATAAAATTAGCATTCATAACAAGATTGAAAAGAGGATTAACATTTAGAAATTTGAAAATAACTTGGAGTGATGAAATTAAAATTTTATAATTTAGATAAGAAACTTATGGAATTCATCTTCCAAAACTTTAGACTGATGTCTCTGCTACCTATTACTATATCATGTTGATGGTATGGGGTAAGGAATCTATACTCTTTATTTCATTTAAAATAAATAAAGATTATAGTCTTCAAAAATAAGGTGATTTTCAATGTACTGCACTTTTTGCTTATTAATTAAAACCAGAATAACCATTTTAAAGAAAAGTTGTATCTTCAAATCTTTATATAGTTTTTTCAAATGATGAAGAATTTTCTATTTTTTCAATTGATTTTTCTAAATCGGTATTAATAATATTGATTTACTAAGATTATGTAAAATCAAAATTTTTTGTTTTTAATTTAGCTTAATAAACTCTTTTATATGAATAATAAGGTGTTGTATATACTTTAGATTTAGAATTACCAAAAATAGAAATTATAAATCTTACTGAAATAAAAGGTCCTTAATTACTTTAAATAACAGCAACTACATTTGATAAGTATTCTGATAAATTTTCATGTCCAAATATCAAAATATACTATTAAGTTTAAGAATTGAATGTAAATTCTATATGGCTATAATAATATATATAACAAAATTAAAATGTATTCAATTTAAAATATTCTAAAATTGAATAAAAAAAATAAATTGATTTAAGTAAAGTATTTTTGGGTTAAGCCTTAAAAATAGAGGAAATTAATATAAATAAATAAAGTATGTTTGAAGCATCATTCACTAATATTATATCATAATTAGATTAAATATATATTAAAAATTAAAAATTAAAAAGTGTTGATTATGCAACTACTTGCCTTTATTCATATCCATATAATGATAAAAAAATCTTTTTATTTAAAAAAGTATCAATTTACCTTTTTATAATTTAATGTTATTATCAAACAAATTAAGCTTGTCACCTATTAAACATACTTGCTATTCAAGATAATATTATTTAAGATTTTGCTTGTGAATCTTTTGGTAATGCACTTTAGATTGTTATTATTTAAAAAATGAAGCATGGGTTAGTTGGATACGTTGCAAGTGTTTACCTATTAATGTAGTATGATAATTAAATTTTAATAAATGAATCATATGATAGATTTTAAGATAGTGAAGGAAATATTCTTTCTATAGCAATATATCCAAAAATTTTGATTTATACTCGGGTTGTGAATGATATTTATACACTTAATTTATTATAACATGAAAAAAGGTAAAATGAGTTAAGTTAGGAATTAAATTGTTACAAAGTATTTGAAATTGTATGTGATTTTGAGAATTTCTAAAATTTACTTTTTATTCCAATGATAAAATATAAAAATTACAAGTATTATTTGATAATTGAGATTTATATGATTCAAAACCTTTCTAAATTTTAATATTTAGGATCTGTTAATTTAGGTTAAACTAAAAAACCAACTAAAGAAAGGTTGTAAATTGAATTAGTTAAAGATGGAATTATTATTTTATAACTCACTGATATTTCATAGGATGAATAAATCAAAAAATTAATGTATATTGATTATTTGGTTTTCTTCAGAATTTTTTTTGATAAGCAAATAGATGGAGAAATTTCAATTAAATAATTAAGACATAAAACATTTCCAACTTTCAATCTTAAAAATATTAACAAGATTAAAACATCAGAAAAATTCTTATATGTATATGGTAGTGAAATTGATGTACCTGCTTGTATTTATGTATATAGACTTTATTCAAATTAAATGGATAGTTTGTATTATATAATTAGAACAGATTTAGAAAGTTTCCAAGTTTACAATGTAGTAAGTACGAAAGAAAGTGATTTAATTTTAATTTAACTTAATGAATTTATGGGAATATATTTAAATCATAAAAAAATCATAACAATAACAAAAAAATAATTATTAAATAAGAATGATGATTATGATTATGCTGATGAACTTATCAAACTTAAGATTAAACCACTTGGTTCAAAAGATGAGAACAATATACAAGATTTTTACATTAAGCTTATTTGTGGTGATTGTGAAGGAGTTAATGGTTCATCTTGATCAAGATAGAATGAATTATTTATTATTATATTTTTAATAATAATTAATATAATTTGAAATCTTAATAGATATAATCAGATTATATATTTAAAATAAAGAAATATAAATCTATTATTAAATTTTGGAGAATAAAAAGGGATAATTATATTGAAATGAATTAATTATAAAAATATAAAAATTATAATATTTCAAAATGGACACAAGACAATTTGAAGCAATACCAGTTTAATAAAGAAATACTGTAAAATAATAGGAAGTAAGAATATAATATGATAAAAGGACCTTTATATATCATTGCCTGATTTATATATTAAAAAATATGTAATATCTGAAAAATTATGTTAATTGAAAAAACCATACATTCCAAAAGTAAATATGCATGATCATACAAATTAAGAGGTATAATTAATAAATATTTTATAGATTTTAAGAGTACCAAAGATTTGGTAATAAGTAATGAATGATGTTCATTTGAAGGCACTTGATTTTTCAGAGAGAAAGAAATGGAAAGTAAAAGAATGATTTCAATATATATATAGATAGCTGTGAATTATTAATTGGCATAGGAAGCAAGAGCTACTCATTAAATGTTATAAAAAGAGAGGGAAGAAATAGAATAATTTGGTATTTGTATTTCTTATTCATTATGTTAAATGGTATAGAAAGCATTCAATTAAATGGGTAATCATAATATAAATATAAAATTAGATATTGAAGAACCAAATCAAAAGCCAATATAAAAATATTTAAGAACAATTAAGATTGAAAATTAAGAATTAGATGAATAGAGATATTAAGATGCACTTCAAAAAGTGAAGAGATACTTATCAACAAATAGAGATGTTTATGTATCTTTGGAATCATTGTTTCCAGATATGTAATAGACATATTCAGAATCAAATACTCATGATATTCATTCTAATGATAAAAGAAAGATAAAATAAAAAGTTGAATTTGATTTTAAAAAGAAATATGAAAATCTTTAAGAAGCTTTACAATTATTTGTGAATAAAGATATTCCATTAAAAGAATCTTTTGAAAAGAGTATGATGAGTATAGAGAGTTTTCCTACTTCTTTGGAAATGATATTCAAATACAAACCAACATCATATTATCAAGAACCTTGTTTGGATCCAGAATATGAAGAATTATTATTTAAAATTGGATGTACTCCAGAATAAGTTTTAAATGATGGAGAAAAAATGATGAAAAAGTATTAAATTATATAAATTTTAGAATGAAGATCTTTTCAAATAATTAGGTTGTTGAATAATAATTACCTCCTTAATTAGAACTTAAAGATCTTTTTAGATATAAATTCAATTATATTGAAAGAGATTGTCATTTTATTTAATAAAATGGAAAATTTGTACCTTTAGATGCAGAAAGATTTAATTCACATGCATAATAAATAACAAAATCAAATGATTTAGTCAAACAATATTTTATATAGTAAGAACTTATTATATATAAATTAATAGTTATTATCAAAAATTTTAAGGAGATTTTAATTAAGTTAGTTAAGCACTTTCATCAAACACTGTAACTGCTAATTTATATTTATATACTCCAAATTTTTGTGCTGATCTCTATGCTTGGCTTATATTTAATAAGAGTATTCAATCTAATTCTAAATTTATTTTGCCTCAATAATATTAAAAAAAATGCGAATCAATTAAATATATAAAAAAACCTTAATAATAATAAAATTAATATACTAATATTCTAAATGATTATGAATCGCTTATTTAGAAGAAACTACCTCCAAAAATATAACATTTAAGACCTCTTCCTTAAAATCCATTTAAATAATATACAAAACCTATATTCAAAGAACTACTTTCTAAAATCAAATTTGATGATCCAATCTAAATTAAAACCTCTGGATAAGCTGATTATTCAATGGTAGAAAGATTATCATTTTCTAATTTGAAAGAGTTGGTCAAATCTGCAAATTTTTCCAAAGGACATATTGAAAAGAGATATAAAAATATTTATGATATAGCTAGATAAGATTGCTATCCTATTGAATAAATAAAAAAAGAATTTGTATATTATTCATATATATTATTATTAGAGGAAAAATTACAAATAATAATAAATGGCAGGATAAAGAATATTAGGTAATAAATACAACTAAACCTCCAATACTGGATTACCTATTAATATATTCTAACAAAAAACATCAACTATTGAAAATTTAAGTAGTTCTTAAACTATTGTATTACCACCATAATAAGCTCCTCCATAATAACTGATGACTACTTAAATCTAACAATAATAATAATAAATACCTTAAATTGCTTAACTTCCACCAGTTACTTAAACATATAATCAACCTGCTTCATCAAGACCACGTAAAATAAAACCAGAAGTTACTACTCAACCTCCTTAATAAACTCCTCCTGTTGTTTAATAAGCTCCTCCAACTGTTTAATAACCTCCATCTGCAAAGAAAAACAGCAGAAAAAAAGATGATTCAGTAGCTTAACCAATTTAAGTAACTACTCCTGCTAATATTGAACCATAAGAACCACCTAAATAATCCAAAAGAACTAAAAAATAAACTAAAGCCAATGATAAAAATAAATAATAACAACCAGAAGATCGTAAAGATGATAGTGTTTGAATACCATATATAATGTAATTTAGAAATTTTTGGTTATTATTAAATATTTTATTAATTTTACAATTAATTTATTCATTACGTCATGGCCTCAAATAATCATACATAATTTACATACATAAAGAGACGCCACTTCTCAAAAAAGCGTAAACAAGAATCTAAACCAAGAAATTATACATATATAACATCTGATGCCAAATAGATGTTTCTCAACCTTTTTTTATTTCAAAGCTACAAAATCCATGATGTAAACAATACCAAATAAAATTTGTCTTAGGCTGCTAATAAGGCAGGAATCAAATATTCTTCTGCCAAAACCATATTATTTGCCCATCGTAAATAATACAAATAAAAATTGATTAGAGATAAAATGGCTGCAGTAAAAATTATACAAAATTTTAGAATTCTATTAATTCTAAGTGTTGTGGATATAAACTTAAATAATCTGGACAAGAATATCCTATTTAAGTAATAACCAGAGTTGGAATGTGACTAAGTCAATTACGTAATCACTTTATTTGTATAATTGAATATGAAAATAAATTTATCAATTCATATTAATTAATTCGTTTATTTTTATTAAATCAAGAGCTTCTATATATGCAATTAGAATTATAATTTAAATCAACTAATATAGTCTTAATTATGACAATAAAATTGACAAATAATTAATATTCATAACAAAACTAAAATAATAACTATAATATCATCAAATAATATTTTGATTAATTTTATAAATCTATAAAACCAGTTAAATGAAGGATTTGTTTATTAACTAGATGTATACAATAAAATAAGACACAAATTATAATTTATTTGTCCTTCTACTAAATACTTAATTGTAAATGATGATTAATTTAATGAAATTTAAAATTAAATGAAAATCATTGCCCAATTAAAAACTTTGCAATGAATAACTACTTGATCTAATCCATAATATAATCAAATTTTTTATGAATTTTTAATATAGGTGAATTAGTAATAAGTTTAAATAAAATTAAAAAAATATTAGAGTACATAATAATTAATTTATTGTCCTTCATTATTATCTTATGTATATTCATTATATTCAAATTTAGAATAAAATCAAATAAATGATATCATTTTAAAACAAATTTAAGTCATAGTTGAATGTATGTCACCTATTGATTAAAGAAATTTAGATTTATTTATCAATATAAAAATTTACATTAGTATTTATATATATAATTCATGAATTAAAAAATAAATATGAACTATAAATTAATGCTTAGATTAAATTGAGTTTTTAAAACTAAAATTCTTTTAGTCCCTAAATCCATTTATATTATTTTATAAACTAATCCATATTTAATTAAGTTTAATAACAAAGTGTCTTAATTCATGGATATTAAATTATAGTTGAATTGTATAATAGATTGAATACAAGTATTTTTAATGAATATATTATCAAAAAATATTCTCCTTTATCTTTTTTTAGGATACTGGATATTATTGTTCCACTATATAATTATGAAGTTTATATCATAATATTAAAAAATATAAAGAAACACATATGAAAATAAATGAAATATAATACTATTCTTTTTTCTTTTAAATTTCAATTACAGAAATGTGATATAATATTAATAAAATTTAACATATGTCTGAATAACACTTATAGGAGAGCAAATTTACTTATGTAAAGTTTATTTTAATTTTAGAGTTCAAATTTAGTGGTTTAGAGAGAACATGGTGTTAGAACAGATGAGCCTTCTGGAGAGCCTGAATCATTGGTTGGTAAAATAAATCCAAGATTGATGGGTACTAAAGCAATTAGAGAGAAACCAATGAAGGGAAATAAATAATAAGGTTTAAAATTAGATAGATAAGTTGAAATTGAAGTGGAAGAAGGAATAGGGATGCCAACTTATGAAAATTTATTGTATATTCCAAAAACAAAAGATAATCGATTGCATTATGAAAAATTATTAACTATAGTTTATGGATTATTTTAAGAATAATCATAAGATGTAATTAAGTCAATTGTAGATGAAGTATTAGCTATAATGAAGAATGATAATTTAAAGGATTCAGAGAAAAGATAAGAAGTAGAAGCTATAATAGGAAGAATAACAAATGAATTATTTTCAGATATTGTATTATCAACAAAGGCTATTACTGATTATCAACCAGAAGTTGGTTAAAAAGGAAATGATGAAATGGATTTACCATTGAATTTAGAAGAGGAATAAGAATCTAGTGATGTTGATTAAATTATAGAGGAAGAGGATGATTGGGAGGAATAAAATGAATAAGCAATAAAAACAAAGATTTAAGAAGAATAAAATAGAAATAAATTATTGGATATTGATGGATTTTGGTTATAAAGAGAATTATAGAAAATATATAAAGATCCTATTTAAGCATAATAGATGGAATAGACAGTATTGGATATATTGAAATTGTAATCTGATATAGATTGTGAAAATTAATTAGTTTAACTATTTGGTTAAGATAAATTTGATTTGATTAGATTATTACATATAAATAGATGTAAAATCTATTTTTGTACTTTATTAAGTAGAGCATAGAGTATAGAATAGAGATAATAAATTCATTAATAAATGGAATAAACTTAAGAAGGAATGAGATTATTGATAGATTTATAAAAGTAAAATAAATATAGTAAGAATACAACATAATTATAAATAACATAAGAAGATATTGAATAATTTGAGAATATTAGCATAGTAGATTCAGATTTATAAGGAATGTCTAAAAAAGTAATAGATTTAGAATAATTATAATTTATATCATAAGGTCACTTGATGTCAAATGAGAAATGTCATTTACCTCCTCGTTCATTAAAAGTAAGTAAGAAAGGTTATGAAGAGATCTATATACCTGCTCCAAAATGTATTATGAGGAATTAGAGTCTGATTTAAATAAATGAAATACCTGAATTTGCATAATAAGCATTTAGAGGATTCAAAGAATTAAACACAATTTAAAGTATTGTTTATGAAACAGCACTATTAAGTGATGAGAATATGTTAATATGTGCTCCTACAGGTGCTGGTAAAACAAATGTAGCTCTTTTAACAATGTTATAAACAATAGGTCAATATTATGAAAATGGTATTGTAGATATTTAAAAATTTAAAATCATCTACATTGCTCCAATGAAAGCATTAGTAAATGAAATGGTACATAATTTCTAAAATAGATTAGAACCATATAATATTAAAGTTGCTGAAGTAACAGGTGATACTCATTTAACTAAACATTAATTAAATACAATTTAAGTATTAATAGCAACACCTGAAAAATGGGATATATTAACTCGTAAAACTTAATAAAATGATTTCATATCATTAGTGAGATTAATAATTATTGATGAAATACATCTATTACATGATAGTAGAGGTCCAGTTATTGAATCAATCATAGCAAGAACATTGAAATCTATGGAAGAAAGATAAGAATATGTAAGAATAGTTGGATTGTCAGCTACATTACCAAATTATGCAGATGTTGCAACATTTATTAGAGTTAAATAGACTGGAGTATTCTTTTTTGATAATTCTTACAGACCTGTTCCATTATAATAATAATATATAGGTATTAATGAAATGAAACCTATCAGAAGAATGCTTTTAATGAATGAAGTATTATATGAAAAAGTAATTGAAAGAATTACTAAATCATAAATCTTAGTTTTTGTTCATTCCAGAAAAGAAACTGTTAAAACTGCTAAAACTCTTAAAGAAATGGCATATTCTAAAGATGAATTATCTAAATTTATTAAAGAGGAAAGTTCATCTAAAAAAATATTAGAAACTGTAATTGCATAAGAAGATATTAAATCTGCAGATCTAAAAGAATTATTAGCAAGTGGAATAGCTATACATCATGCAGGATTATGTAGAGGAGATAGAGATTTAGTTGAGAGTCTCTTTGAAAAAAAGAATATATAAATTCTAATATCAACTTCTACATTGGCTTGGGGAGTTAATTTACCTGCACATACAGTAATTATTAAAGGAACATAAATATATTCACCTGAATAAGGAAAATGGATGGAATTGAGTCCTTAAGATATCTTATAAATGATGGGTAGAGCAGGTAGACCTAGATATGATACATCTGGTGAAGGAATTATATTAACAACTTATTAAGAATTAAAATATTACTTATCTCTTTTGAATATGTAATTACCAATTGAATCATAATTTATTACCCAATTAGCTGATCAATTAAATGCAGAAGTTGCTCAAGGTAATATTAAGAATCTAAAAGATGGAGTAAATTGGTTAGCTTACACTTATTTATATGTTAGAATGCTAAGAAATCCTACATTATATAATATACCAGATTTTAATAATGATTAGTATTTAATTAAATATCGAGCTGATCTTTTACATTCTGCCTCCCTATTATTAGATAAAAATAACTTAATTACATATGATAAAAAGACTGGAAATTTGGAAAGTACAATTTTAGGTAAGATTGCAAGTAATTATTATATCAAATATCCAAGTATGTAAATATATAATCAACATTTGAAATAAAATATGGGAATGATTGATATATTTAAAGTATTCTCTTTATCTCATGAATTTAAATTAATTCCAATTAGAGAAGAAGAAAAAATAGAATTGTCTAAATTAATGATGAGTGTACCTGTACCAATTAAAGGCTCACCTGAAGATCCTTCAACTAAAATTAATGTCCTTCTTTAAGCATATATTAGTAGATTAAAATTAGAAGGATATGCTTTAAATTCAGATATGGTCTATATTACATAAAGTGCAGGTAGAATTATGAGAGCATTATATGAAATATGTTTACATAAAGAATGGGCTTAGAGTACCTTATAATGTCTCTAATTATCTAAAATGATTGAAAAAAGAATGTGGAATTGCATGACTCCACTTAGATAATTTAAAGGATTACCAGACGATTTATTAAGAAGAATTGAAAAGAAAGAAGGAATCACTTGGGAACATCTTTATGCTATGTCATCTTAATAATTAGGAGAATTAATTAGATATCAAAATTAGAATATGACTAAATTAATACATAAATACATTCACAAATTTCCAAAAATTGAAATATAAGCTTTTGCTTAACCAATAACTAGATCATGTCTTCGAATAGATCTAATGTTATCATGTGATTTTTAATGGGATGAAAAACTTCATGGAAGACAAGAACCCTTTCATATATATGTTTTGGATTCAGATGCTGAAAAAATATTATATCATGAATTATTCCTAATGAAATAAAAGAATCAAGAAATGTAATTTACACTCACAGTTGCATTATTTGATGTTATGCATCCTATCTATTATATCAAAGTTATCTCAGATAAATGGATATCATGTGAAACCGAGTAGCCTATCCCTTTTAAAAATCTAATCTTGCCAGAACCATTTCATAGATGTACAGAGTTGCTTCAATTAACTTTATTATCTATTGATTAAATTAAACATTCATAAATTGAGAATATTCTAGCTAAGAAAATAATGCATAATCGATATTTTGATTAGATTTAAACTTAAGTATTTCAAAACTTATATCAATCAAATGATAATATTTTTATTGGATCATCAACATATTAATCAAAAGGCATATTGCCATTCTTAGCTATTTTATAAATGATTAATCATTTTAAAGGTTATAAAGCAATATATATTTCATCAATTAACTGTGATATTAAGTTTAATTAATTTGTTTAATTATTTAGTAAGACGCTATCATTAAAAATTGGTAAACTTACTGGATAATTATAAACAGACAATAAAATCTTGGAATTATCTGACATTATTGTTTCAAATCCAGTTAATTGGGATATAATGAGTAGAAGATGGCGATCTAAAAAAGGATTTAAAGATATTCGATTATTGATAGCTGATGATTTACATACTTTGAATCAATCAGGAAGTGTTATGGAAGTTATAGTTTCTAGAATGAGAATGATATCTATGGAAATTCCATTTAGAATTGTTGGTTTATCATTATCTGTAGCTGATTATAAAGAAATGAGTGAATGGTTAGGAAGTAAATATACATTCAACTTTTCACCTATTATAAGACCTAACAATATCTAAATTTAGATTAGTTCATTTGATTAATGCTAAAGGCCATTAAGAATATAAGCAATGATTAAATCATTAAAACCAAGTTTATCTACATCAGAATTAAATATTATATATGTATCTGACCGAAAATAAGCAAGAGTTTGTGCCTTAGAACTTATGATCAACAATAATTTTTAATTATCTGGATTCTAAATTAAGGAAGATTAATATCTTTAACATACACTTTAAGCATCTGTAGGATTCTTATATGAATGTATGGATCCTTAAGATGAAAATGAAGTATTGAAATTTATTCAATCTAATGAATTAAAGATTATAGTTCTTCCATACAAACAAGCCTTACATTATAATTTAAAAGGATAAGTCTTTATTTTAGATAATTAGAAATATGATGGAATTGAAAAGAGATATGTAGATTATACTATTGCAGAAATGTTAGAAATGATAGAAAGTACATCATCTTTATGTCATATTCTTACATATACTCCAAAATAAGAGTACTATAAGAAATTCTTATATGAGCCGATGCCAATTGAATCGCATTTAAATCATCATTTAGCCAATCACTTAAATGCAGAAATAGTAGCAAAGAATATTCATAATACTCAAGATTGTATTGATTGGATAACTTGGACATTTATGTATAGAAGATTAACATAAAATCCTAATTACTACAACCTTCATGAAGTTAATGGAGTAGCCATTAATAATTATCTTAGTGAACTTATTGAAACTACAATAGATGAATTACATGAAAGTAAATGCATAGCAGTTGAAGAAGATAATGAATTAGAAGCCATCAACTCTGGTATCATTGCTAATTATTATTATATTAATATTGAAACAGTTAAGAATTTCTCAGATAAAATTAATTCCAATTCTAAATTAAGAGACCTCTTGTTTATTTTATCTGAAGCAAAAGAATTTGAAGTACTTAATATTCGAAATGGAGAAGAAAATCTGTTGGCATAATTACTCTAAAAGATTCCATATTAACCAACTAATCCTAAATTGAATGAACCTAATACTAAGGCTTTAATCCTTTTATAAGCTCATTTTTCTAGAACTAAATTAAATTCAGATCTCAAATCAGATCTTAATATTTTAGAACTGGCTATTAGATTAAGTACAGCCATGGTAGATATAGCTTCATCCAATTTATGGTTAAAACCTGCTATTCTATCCATGTAAATTTGTTAAATGATTGTTCAAAGTCTTTGGATTGATTAAGATAGTGTCTTATTATAATTGCCTTATTTTAATTAAAATACCATTTAAGAACTTAAAGAAAGAAACGTTTAAGATTGGGCAGATTTCTTTGATATGTAAGAATCTGATAGAACCTTTATTTTATCGAATTTTACATCAAACTAAGTTGAGGAAATAGCTTAAGCAGGAAATAGGTATTAATTTTCTATAAATTAGAATACCATCTGTTGAAATTACCGATATCATATCAGATCCTTAAGTTGTATAAGGAGATGTTTTTCATGTCTAGGTTATTTTAACAAGGCAAGATAATATTTATACTGATTATGTAATTGCTCCTAATTATCCTAAACCAAAAGAAGAATAATGGTGGGTATTATGTGCTGATAGAAAATCAAATCGATTATTTGGTAATAAAAAGGTCTCTTTTTCAACAAACATTAGAGTAGATCTCAGATTCTAAGCCCCAGAAGCTGGTGATTATGATTTGACTATTTATGCTATTTGTGACTCTTATATTGGAGTAGATACAACATCTCAATTTCAATTAACAGTTAGTCCTATCATTGAATAAGAATAAGAATAATGAGTTTATTTAAAAAAAACTTCATTTTATAAGATTATTGTTAATGATAAACAAAATTATATAATAAAAATTAATCTAATACTTAATTGCTAATTTATTAAAACTATATCTTTATAACTTTAATCTATACCTCTTAATCGATTAAATTATAATATCATAATGTGATAAGTGATAAGCGATTAGCAATCATAATAATATCTAATTATATTATTATCATAAATATTCACATAGAATACGCTGATTAAAATATGATAATAATTTATCAATAAATCCTGATTATATTAATTTTCTGTCTTATTATGATAAATTTTAATTTAGTTCTTATTTATTTAAAACAAAAATTTAACAAAAATTTTATTACTAGTGCTTTCTTTATTCATTTATAGTTCAAAAAGTTTATCAATCTTAACAAAAATATTTAGAAAGGTAGTTCGATAAAAAATAAATATATAATATAAGATAATCATAAAACTTAAACTTTAAAGAGGTGGACATTCTTTATTTTCAATATTTTACCAAGTTAAACTGCCATCCTAAAACTAAAATGCCTTCATATGATATTCTCTTGAAATATTATTATAGAAAGGTCTAGCTAAAGTTCTCTTCATTAAGGAACTTATAAAAAAGAAAATCATTTCTATCCTTTGATAATTTAAACAGATTGCTCTTACTCTTCTATATGAATAGTAAATTTTCATACTTTATTTATAAATGTCATTTAATATTGACTGCCAACTGGCGGGTAGAACGGATGAGGTAGGCACTCTAGTGAATTTACAAATAATAATAATAATTTTGAATTTTTAACGAATAAAATTACTATTTGAATCTCAAAACGAATAAAATTACGATATTTTGAATAATAATTAGAAATAATTGTTAATTACCATTAATGAAATTTATAAAAGTTTCTAATATATTTAATTCTAATTGATTGTCTCAATAAATAATTTGAGAATATGAGTTTTAGTATATTCATTCCTTAACTTGAGAGAATAGTTCGAAGTTATAAAAGGTTAATTTACAAGATGAAAATTTTTTAACGTCTCTAATTAAATCTATATGATTAAAGAGTTTTAAATTAAATATCTTCACTTTAAAATTATCAAACTATTTTACATTATTATGATAATTGGATTGAAATTCTTGAATTAAGTTAGCACTAAATGGTATATGTTCATTATACCTGATAGTAATTAAGAAATTTTAATCACTAATGGTGGAATTATGCGAAATTTTTTGAATGAATTTATGAATATAAAATAATGATAGGAGTAGAAGTTCTTTCACTTAATTTAGCCTTTATTAAATTAATTATTAAGGATTTATTACAAGAAATTTGATATTAATTTAACAGAGATTAAACATTGAGGCTAAAAATATAAATACATTTATTTATTTCATTAGAATTTTGAATCCAAAAAAGTTAATAGATTTATTAAAAATTAAAAGTTACAAATTATGGAATGCTTCAAATTAATGGCTATAAAGAAAATTAATAATTTTAATAATTTGGATTTAAATAATTACTCCTAATTTATGTAAATTTATTAAAGTTGATAACTACTATAATTATCAATTTTTAAATTATTGATCTATTTGATATTTAAATTTCAAAATATCCTAAATTAATAATGATTATCAAGCAGTCGATTCTAATACCATTAATAAATTATTAGATTTTCATGTCATTCTAATTATGATTAAGAAGTCATGTTTATAAATAACTAAGGATAGTATCCATTTCGTTATCTCTATCAAAAAGTGAATCTGCATTACATTTTTAAATTCATCCATTTATTCAAATTTGGTATTTAAATTTAGACCCAAATTTAAGTTATTTCTTATTAATCTAATTTAAAAATTTTTTAATTATTTAATTTTAAAGACAATTATTTTTATAGAAATTATTATAATAAATATATATTCATAATTCTTACATTATGTCTTTAATATAAAATGTTAAGTAATTTTAAAGGTTAAATTTACAAGCAGCCTTTTTAATCGAATTCAATTTCATCTACTTCTTCAGACTTTTTGATGTTATTCTTATTTAATATGGATCTATTTATATTTATAAGTTTAAGTACATCATTAAAAGTAATCATGTTGGTCCTGTAATAAAAATAATATTTAAGGAAAAAAAGAAGTATCTGGACTTTCAATTTACAAAAAATTAAAAGAATTACTTGTATTATTTTATTTGATATCCTAAAACTAATACCAATATCCAATCTTCAATATTTAATGAATTTTTTCATTTATTAAAAAAATCTTAATTTCACAATAATCCACTAAAAATAATTGTTATCCGTTGAGAACGATATTTGTATTTATTTTATTCATTTTTCTTCAATTTGTTAAGTTGAAAATATTGTTAGTCTATCATTATAAAAAATAAAAAAAATAATAATCCAAAAAGCCTAGTAAGAAATGGCGATGATAATTGTGTATGTTCTAATTTTCTTTAGAGGTAAACATATATGGAATATTAAATAAATAAAGTAAACTTAAATAGTTATCAAGACTAATTCAAATTTAGGAATAAACTTAATATAATAATTTAGTTGTGTGATAAAAAAATTGTATTTTATTAAAATAACATAAAAATAAATCCAATTTATCAATTAATTGTAATATTTTAAAATAATGATCTATTGTTTTTATGAATTAATTTTAATATCTGATTCAATATTTTTTTAAAAATAACATAAAAAAAATAAACTTTTAATACATTTAATATTATTATACAATTACCATAAAGAATTATAAAATATAAGTTAAAAATTTAAATAAATAGTCAAATAGGATTATTTTAATGCAATTATCTTATTCAATTATAAAAAATAAGTTATATTTATTATGCTTTTGGATAATAATATGAAAATATGTTAATTATAATTGGGTAAAAATATTTCAATTAATATATTTAATTAAATTTATATTTTATAATTTATAATTCATTAAGATAATTATATAAAAATATGTTAATGATAATTGTTTAAAAATATATCTATTAAATTTATTTCTTTAAATTTTAACTTATATTTTATAATTAATTAAGATAATTGTATAAAATTATTTCAATTCATTTATTTCTTGGAATTATAACTTATATTATACTCTAAAATTGATATTTTTATAACATCAATAATAATGTCTATGATTTTGAATCAAAACAAATATTTTTATTATAATATTTTATTATTATTATTATTAACCCTCTATAGAAATTTGAATATAAATTTAATTTAAAATCACTATTCAACTGATTGTTCCTCCTTTTTTTTATATATTATATATTTTTGCCTATGTATCACTAAATTTTGTTTAATAAATTTTTTTATTTCAATTTCTCTCTCTTTTTATCTAGTTGTTATTAATCATTTAAGTCTTGCCAAGGTTATTAACAGGTTATTATTAAGGATGTGCTTGCTTGTCAATCATTATTGATGCTCTTAACATTAGGTTCATTCAAATTTGAATTATGAGTTAATATTCTCTGGATTTCATAGGACTCTTTAAAAGGGTTATCTTCTCATTATCTAGTAATTTAGTATTTTGTTGATAAATACAATTTTCTTACTCAGGTTCTATTAATTTTCTGGTTTATAGTTAATCCATTGTGCTCTTAATTTGTTGTAATATGATATGATGATAGTTTTTACAAAATATATTTACAAATTCATCTGAAGTGCTTTTCAGCAGTCTTGTTAATTATTTAAATATTTTTTTCTTATATTAATTGTTTATTTGTTGAGTTATTTATTGTTGAAGAAGGCTGCTATGGCACAATATAAAAAGAGGGGTACGATGTATATCTGAAATAGTTCTAAACGCTAAGTAAAGTTCATTTTTGCTGATATAATCATTAGATTTAAGTTGAAATAGTTTAGTTTTTGATTTATTTTATTTAAATGAGGACTATTACTCCCTTTATGATTTATTTCAATTCTTAAGTATTTATATTTGTAAAGAATTGGAATATCATTTGAGTGTTCTTTTGGAATTGTAAACTAGATTGGGATTATACAACTTTTTCTTGTTAAGAATAAGATTCCATTTTTTAGCTTATTTGATAACTGACTTGATGAGTCTCTTCATTTATTTCAAATTGGTTTCTAGAACTAGATCATCTGCATTTCCGAAAAATTATATTCCCATATTTTCTTAAATCAATTCTCTTAGAAATTCATCTAGGTATATATTGAATATACAGGTGAGATAGGGGATCCCTAAGGTGCTCCATTCGAAAAGTAAAATTTTTCTTTTTAATTTTATGGATTAACGAAAATCATCCTACTATGCAAGGATTCTAGGAATTAAACTTCATTTTGTTGAAGGATGTCATTTTTTTTAGAATTTTATAAACCATATTTCTGTCAATAGTATTGTAAGTGCTTGTGAAATCAATGAAGATTAAAACTTTATGAAGTTTTCTTTTTGTCTTTTTGATTCTATCTAGTAATAAGTAAATATTAAGTTAGGTTCCTAGTCCATTAAAGAATCCAGTCTAAGGTTTTAATATTCCATTTTAAGGTACTCCTAGAGTTTTTCATGAAATCTTAACTCTAAAAATTTAAACAAAGGGCTTAAAATGACTAAGAGTCTGAATTATTCCTTTTTAGAAATTTTTGGATAAACTTTGTTCGGTGGCAGTAATCTTGCCCATCCTAATTTTTTATTAATTTTAAAAGTCTCAGGTTTCCATACATCTTTAAGTATTTCCCATCTGCAATTTGTTATGAATTGATGAGATATGCAATCGTAGGAAATAGCTTTGTCTATTGCCATCAAGTCTTTAAATTTTTAAATTTGATAATAATTCAATACCTCCAGAATAGGTATAGATAGGGGGTTATAATTTTCTAGTTTTGAATACTTGTTTAACTAATTTATGCAGTTAAGAAAGGTGTCTTGGCCAGTGTTTAATTTATTTTCATCATCAATAAAACAATTGAAAATTCCTCCATCTCTTCTTTGCTGATTCATATCTATAGTTTTTTTAATTAGTTAAAAAAATCATATCTGTTACCTTAAAATTATTCTTGAAATTTTTCTATCAAACTGTTATTATATGTTTATTTTATCCTAAATCTAATTTTTGTAACTATTCTTTTCAACAATATTTATTTTTGTAATTTTTCATAGAAGTTTTTAAAAGTATCTATAGATCTATTTGTAATGATTTTATTGCAACTAAAAGTTGCATTGTTTTTTATGATTTTTGTAACATTTCTGTGGATTTATTCTAATTTATCTACAAAGGACCTATCTTGGCTAGAAATATAACATGGTCTGAAAGATTATTCCAAAATACTTTTACATTATTTTCTACATTTTAAAAAACTAAAATATGGTGAGTTTAGGACCTATAGTTCTTATTGATGACTTTTCGATGAAATGTCATGAGGTTTTTAGTGATATCATTCATGAATTAGGGTTCAATATTTGGAGTATTAAAGTTCCCACAAATTATAACTTATTACTAACTGTTCATTTAGTTTATGATTTCAGTAATTTTATTCCAAAAGAGTTTATTAAATTATTAATATTCTTTATGATTATGGAAGTATACATTTATCAATATAAGATCTAAATTAGGTTATACTATTTAAACAACTAGTAAGTCTGTTTGAGCTATTTCATTCGGAATTGAGTCAAAATAATAATTAGTTATGTCTCTACTAGAAAATTGTGAATGAATTCCAATAATTATTCCTCCAAAGGGTTTTGATCTTTTCTATTATAAAGATATTGATATTTAATTGAGTTTCTTAATTATTTATTCCTTACTTCTTGTAAGCAAATTATGTGAGGGTGATATTTTTGTATTTCTTGGAATATGTTTTTTTAATGGAGCTGACATTCCAACTTATGCATTCTAGGTACCTATTCTTATATAATAAATTAATCATTCTTGTATTTATTTGAAAAGGTTTGTTTTTCGATAGTTCCAGGATTTATATTTTCTTTAATTTGTATTTTTTGACCATTCACTTGATTTTATTAATTTTATTTTCTCTTAAGTAAAGAAAACTATCCATATTTTTAATACAGAGCCAAGGATTAATTATTTTTATCTCCCATAAATGTGAATTCTTTCCTTTTAGCATTAAAGATTAATATAAATTTGTCGTATTTTTGGCTTATAAGATATAGAATAGTTTTATTATATTGTCCTTTTTCCAATTTTAGTAAGCTCCAATGTATCTATTTTTCGTTATTTAACGACAGTATACTTCTTCCTAAGTTATCTCTAAGTTCTTTTTCTTCAATCCCTAAATTTTATGAAGTGATTGTATAAAAAGACTTACCAAGGTTTTAGTAAATTCTTCTGTCTCTTTCATGATCTATTTCTACTTTCAATTCTCCAACTGCTTAATTTGTGAGGCCTTCACTTCTAATTATTCTTAGATGAACTGAATCAATAGTTCATTGGAATTATTTGACCGATTCAACTATCCAATGCAATTATTCTGCTAATAAAGTCTTTGTGAATTCATAATTAATGTTTTTAGCTTGGTGATGCATTGTTGTAAGCGATTAAAATATTGCTTAAGACTTGGATGTAAAATCAACAATAAATTAATTTTCCATAATTAATTTAATTATTAAAAATATATTATTATATTTTAAAACATTATCTTAAATAATTCTAAATGCAAAAACAAATATAAATATATATGCTAATTTTTATATTTTGATTATATCAATATTTATAGTCACTAATTCTAAAATCAATATATACAAATATCTACATTTTAATATTTTTTATCAAATAATCATCAATTATTATTGTATATTCTTAATTTAATCTAAAAAAGTAAATTCATTTACTGTTTTAATAAAATTTCATTTTTTTTTCAAATTTTCCAACAAATAGATTCAACCCTTTATCTTTTTAGATATTATTAAACTATATTCTGTATTTAGATAATGATCCTTTTTTAGTTCTTTTAATTTGGTCCTTAAATATTTCTATATTACTTATTTTTCAATAATTTATCTTATGAATGAATATTTAAATAATTTAGGAATAAAATTTTTAAGGGTTCAAAGTCCAAATTAAGAATAATTAAGATATTAAGAATGATTTCATTTATATTAATTATTTAATATCAGTTGTTAATAGATAACCTCAAAAGATAATTTTCAAATCTATTTATGTAGTTGAGCCTTAATCAATTACTTTACCATCAGTACATATATGAGATCAATGATTTTTCAAAGTAAATTTATAAATCTTAACATCTTATCCTCAATTTTAATTGATATTTTTACTCACATTTAATTAATAAATGAGAAATTAAGAAAAGAAATATTATTTGTTATATTAATGAAGCCTATAATCACTCTGATTATAATATACTGTTTTGATAAACAATACTAATTGTCTATTTTGAATTGAAATTAAGAAAACATAATAAATAATATTAAAGTCTATATATAAATGATTCATTTTCATTTCTTTTTCAAGGCTTCAAGGCATTCATCTTAAAGTTAATAATATCATATTACTCTTCCTATCTTTGGTCCACTAATGATTTTCTTTTATCTTTAATGCCTTATCATAACACATCAAAGCTTCTTAATATTAATTCTAATCCTGTAGTAACTTACCTAAATATATTTTTGAAAATATTCTAAACCTTTTGACCATAAGGAATCTAAATGATTGGGATTTACTTAAAGAGATTAATCAATTACAGTCATGGCTTCTTCATAATTTTTTAACATTCTTAGTGATATACCTTAAAACTATTTAAAAATCAGTACTTTTAGTTGATAATGAATTACAATGCTTTGAATCAATTTAAAGTGCTTTGTCTGCCCATATAATTGCCTCATTATATTAACCAAGTCCTCTTAAACTTGAAGCTAATAAACTCAAATGGAAACATACCTTTAGTAAATAAAGAATTACAATGTTTTGAATCAATCTGCAAAGCTTTATCTACCCAGATAATGGTTTCGTTATATTGGTCAAGCATTCTTAGAGATTCAGCTATAAAATTATATCAAAATTATCTTACCTTTAGTATACAATGAATTGAAATGTTTTGGATCAACTTGCAAAGCTTTATCTGCCCAAATAATAGCTTCATTATACTAATCAAGCATCTTTAGACTCTCAGCTAACAAATTAAATTATAATCCTACCTTTACACCATAATGCTAATTAATGCTTAGAATTTAATCGTAATGCTTAATCAAGAATTGCTATTGCTTCCTCATATTTATGATCATACCAATATAATTTATATCCTAAACTATAATTTTTATTACCTTTTTAATATAGTTCTTCTGATTTCTTGATATCTGAATCAGAAACTTGATAATAATTCAATTAATTTAAATTTAAGTCTTAATATAGTTTTTATATTTAATCTTGAAGTTCACTTGAAGATTTTTGAATGAGTGTTTCGATTGTAGATCTAAATGATTTGAATTGGATGGTTTCAGCTAAGATCGAATTTATTTGTTTTGAGTTCAAGTTGAAGATTTATTCTTTAGATATTTGATATTTAGTTTTGATTCCTCCAATTAATTGATAGAATGATTGATAAACTAAATCCATTTACTTATTTAACCTATTAATTAAGTCATCACATTCTTTTTCAATTTTTTCAATATGATCAAACAAATTTGATAATTGATATTGATGTTGAGGATGAGAAAAATGGATGCCATTCCTACTACATTATATGCAATATAATCTATCTGCTTTACAAGATTCATCAAAGCATACTAATTTAACATTATTGGCATGTTCTGGATTTGGGCATTTGATGATCAAATCATTATATTGATTCATAATATTAATAATATTAAATTTCTTCTTAGACACATATTCATTATGAAAAAATATTAAAAATAACACATAATTTAAAGTTCAAATAAATAAATTAAAATTAACAGCTATATATTTTTAACTTTAAAGGCTTTCAATGGTGTTTTAAGCTGTCACTTTCAAACATCTTAATGCATTAAAGTTTTATTTTAAATTTATATTCCATCAAAATTTGACTTAATATTTGTTCATTAATAAACAGTTTAGTGGAAATATTTGATCGAATAAAGATTAGTATATTAAATATCATCAGATTATAAAGGATATTCGATTTCCTCTATATTATTTGTTGTAATGTATTTCTAATTCTATAAAATTAAAGGCTATGGATATGAAGTTTTAAATTGTCAAATACAATTTTAAGTGAATATTTTCAGTATTTTTTAGAAAAAATAGATCAAAATTTATCTTAACACTAAACAATAATTATATGTCAATAACGTAATTAATTTTAACCTCTCACTCATTTTCTAACTATATAAATGAAAAAATACAATTCTGCAAATTAAAAAAAATAAGTTTTTCTGAATTGTCTCAATTATCAAATTTAATTAATTTAAAATTCATTTAATCAAATTTGATCAGAATTATAATTTAAAGTTATTCCTAGTAGGAAAATGAATGAATTGATGAAAAGAAATAGAAAAAAAAAATTAAATATATGAATTAATATCAATGGGAAATCCTTTTTCTCAATTTACATCTAGTTAGAAACCTGTATATATTATGATAGGGATGGATGCTGCAGGAAAAACAACCATTTTATACAAATTAAAATTAGGAAAAATTGAAAATCTAATTCCAACGATAGGATTAAATTTAGAAACAATGTAAAGTAAAAACTTTGATATAATTTCTTGGGATGTTGGAGGAGCAGATAAATAAAGAATTCTTTGTAAACCTTACTTGAAGAATAGTAAAGGAATAATTTATACTTTTGATTGTTCTGATAAAGAAAGGAAGGCAGAAGCAATATTTGAATTACACTAAATGTTGCTTGATCCTTTACTTTTTGGATAACCCCTTTTAATATATTCAAATAAATAAGACCTAATAAAAATGAACTCAGAGTAATTAGCTGTTGAATTGAAGATAGAAAAATTTTCTAAAAATTGGCATATTTAACCATGTTGTGCAATTACTGGAGAAGGACTTTTAGAAGGGCTGAAATGGATTGAAGAATAGCTTAAGTTGAAATGAAATATATATTTATAATTTTATTCATTTTGAGAATTTTTTTTTAAATTATATTTACAGGCTTAAGTTTGTATCTACTACTAATTATACTTTTTTTAATAACTAATTATTTTAATAGAACTTCTTTTCTATAAAATTTGAACAATATCACTTTTAAATTTAATAATTTGAATAATAATCATACAAGTTTATATAAGGATAATTTATAGTATCTCTTAAGTTAATTTGAAACATTTATAACATCGATCTTAGAAAAATACTTTTTCATATGCTGCTCGAAAAAAAAATAAACTAAATATATGCTATAACTTTCCTAGTGCGATTTTTGATAAATAATTTTAAAATATATTCTTTAAGGATTTTAGTAATTTTAAATCACAATTAATCTAAACTGTTGGTAGAAGTTTCTATAAATTTAAGAAGGATGGCCATCATAATAAAATATTACTGTCTTTTTTTTTTACTAAGATTGATTCTAATTTATAGTTTAATTAAAATTTTGCATCAATTTAAAAATTATTCAATAAGATGAAGACATAAAAAAGTAAATATGAAGTAAAATTAACTTTACTAAGACTACCCATAATAATATATAAATTAATAAATGAATTTTTATTATCATTATTTAAATTAATTTAATTAATAAATGAATAATTTTATCAATTGCAATTAAGATAATTAAGTATTTAATGGATCAAAGAAGTAAAATAAATAGTATAATTAATATATTAGAGAGTTTATAGAAGAATTATAGGTTAAGGATTATGATTTTTACAATCGAACATAAGATTATAAATGCTCATTTTGGGACTCTAATTAAGAAAAATTAGTGAAGGCTACATTACAAATTATAGTTACTCAATAAAAGAATATCAAATATTTGATGGACGGATAAATTATTAGAATGTAATATCAACAAATAAAAATAGAGATAAAGTTATAAATAGACTTGAAGTGTTGAATAATTTAGAATAGATCAGATATCTTTAATGGTTGGGATAATACAATTAAAATTAAAATAAAGTTGCTAAATGGAGTGCAGTTTGGAAAGGAGATTAATTATTAGAAGTTGGCGGATATTACTCTGAGGATGGTTTAAAGTAAGGATTTTGGAAAGAATTAAGTAGAAATTACTCTAAGTAAGCCCTAATAATGATAATTATAAATAGTGAAAATTAAGTATATGAATGTGGAGAATATATCAATGATTAAAGAAATAAGCAATGGAAGTATATCTACGATAATAAAATAATGTATGTATTTTTATGATTAAAATTAGAGGTGGAGGAGTATACAATAAATAAGGTTAGAAGATAGGTAAATGGGTTGAATTGGATGATGAATTTTAAATGTATAGTAGTTAGTTATGAATATTTATAGCCAAAGTCAAGTAACTTATAGTGGTGAATATATGAATGGGTAAAAAGTTGGTGTATGGGATATCCTTTATAAAAGGATGGATTAACTGGAAAGGATGTAATTGTTTATTTTGATAAAACATTAAAATAGAGGTGGAGGGTCATATGCGTATAAAAAGGAGGGATTTGACTTAAATTCTAAGAAAGTTGGAATATGGATAGAATTGACGGATGGATTTTCGGGGTATTAATGTTAAGCAATTTTTAAATTATTAGTAAAAGTTAAGTGATCTAATATGGTGAATATAAAAATGGTAGAAAAATTGGCAAATGGGTTATTTTTTGGAGGAAAAATTAATTTCAACCATTTCAACAAATGTAACACTAAGAATATTTATATTTCTTGAATTACAAATAGTGGTGACGGTTCTTATGATGACAAGCCAGAAGATTAAGATATTCGAGGTTCGATTAAAATTGGAAAATGGATAGAATTTACAAATTGTCTAGAGTATTTTTGTTATGATTATGTAATTAGTGATTGTTTAGTTTTGTATGGGGGTTAATATAGAAGTGGTAAAAAAGTTGGTAGATGGGATGCCTTTTTTTTAGATGAATAAATGTATAATAAAAATTTAAACTTTTATTATTTAAAAAATGTCAAATAAAAATAGAGGCGGAGGATCTTATGAGGACAAACCAGGAAATGAAATTAAGTTTGGGAATTGGATAGAATTGAGTGAAGGTTTTTAAATGTATTTTTTTTTGGTTGATTTTATCATTAGAGATAGGGAAGTCACTTATAATGGTGAATATTAAAATGGGATTAAAGTTGGTAAATGGGATACTTTCTATTAAGACGAATAGATGTAAAATAAATTATTTAAACTATTTATTTAACTCAAAATTTCGAAATAAAAACAGTGGGGGTGGATCTTATGATAAGGAATAAGGATAGGATAATGTTATAAATTCAATTAAAATCGGGAAATGGATTGAGTTGAGTGATTACTTTGGGGGGTAATTTTATTTCTTGATAAATATATGATTAGTGGAGGATAAATAATATCTAAAGGTGAATACCAGGATGGTCAAAAATTTGGCAGATGGGATATTTTGTATAGAAGGTGGAGAAAGGACCAGTTTGAAGAAATGTAAGTGTAGATTATTATTAATTTTTGCAATTTTGCATGATTTACATAAAGTGGAGGGGGATCATATGGTTACAAGCAAGGACATATTGCATTAGGTTCAATTAAAATAGGAAAATGGATTGAGTTGAGTCCTGACTTTAATAGGTATTTTTATTTGGCAAAATAATATATAGTATCAGTTAAATCACTTTTAATGGTGAATATGAAAATGGTTAAAAAGTTGGTAATTGGATTACATTGTGGAGAAAAAATAAATTTAACAGATTTAAATAGATGTATTATTAGAATTGTGAATTATTTTATTAAAAAAAAAATACGTAGAGGTGGAGGATAATATGATGATAATAGAATTGATGGTTTGTTGAATTAAAATAAGATAGGAAGGTGGATTGAATTAAATGATGGATATCGAGAGTATATAATTATTTTAATGATTAGAGGTAGAAGAATCAAGTATGAAGGCGATTATAAAAATGGTAGAAAAATTGGAAAATGGAATACTTTTTTTGAAAAAGTTCTAATGTAAAAATAGATAATAATTGATTTATAATTTAAAAAACGAAAATAGTGGTGGAGGATAATATTCTGACAATTCACTTGATTTTTAAGGTTCGATTAAAATTGGGAAATGGATTGAATTGAAAAATAAGTTTGGGAATGGATATGGAGACCAGTAAGTGATTTTCGTTGGTGAATATAAAAATGGGAAAAAAGTTGGTACTTGGAATGAGATGATTCGAGATTAGAATAAATAGTCAGGAGAATTTAAAACAATGTAAGAATTTTTTTAAACCATACCTTAAGTAAGGAAGTTTAATATGATTATTGAGAAACAGAATTAAAATATGACTCTTATTTTTGTAAAGAAATAAGATAATAGTAAAATATATTATATTCTTTTTTTTCATTCATTATATATTGATATTAAAATTCTATGTTAATTATTCATAAAATTAGAGCATATTAAATATCTATATCTGTTTAACTTAAAGCAAATTTTAATGAAAATTCAAGAAGATATAAGATAACATAATGATATTTTAAGTAGCTTAATAATTTTTTATTGGTTTAGTATTCAATTTCAACTGAATATTAAAAAACACTTAAGTAACTAGATATTTTTATTGAAATTATAACTGAATATATTATATCGTTAACCAGCCTATAATTTATATTTTACTCAATTCTTACAGGAATTTTAAATTCACAAAAATATTATATTTACAAACTATCTTCTTCAATTAGTTAATTAATTTATTACTATAATTGAACTAATTAACTAATTTCAATTGTTTATTGCAATCAATTTATAAGTTAAGAAATTTCGAGCTTAAATTTGAAATAACAAATTATAATTAAATTTTATTCTGTTATTTTATTAGATCTTAATGACTTTTGAAAATATTTATATTAATTATTAATTTTAGTGAATGAGTGATTAAGAAAGGAATGTAAGTTTTATAAAAGAGAAAAATGTTTAAAAAATATACAAATTAATACCAGATTCATTACCAGATGAAATGAAAGAGGCTCTCAAAAATTCTGTTGACAATTAAGCTAAAGAAAATGCAGACCTATAAAAAATTGAAGAATATGTTTTTCAGATTAATTCAGATGATATTAATATTTCATACTATGGACTAAATCGATGTCGAAAATTATTGAGCAATTAAACTTTGCCAACAGAATAGCTTATTGAATAAATTCTTCAAACAAATATTCACATAAAAATTTTTGATATAGCCAAAAATCATAGTATTTCGTTATTAAGATATGAGGCGCTTTGGATAATTTGTAATTTTGGATGTGGCACAAAAAAATAAATATAAAATATTTTAGATAATGATGGAATCAATATTCTTTTTCTGGCGCTTGAATCAGAATTTGATGAAATAATTGAATTAGGAGTTTGGGCATTGGCCAACATTTCAGGAGATAATGTTTAATTTAGAGATATGCTTCTCTAAAAAGGAATAATTGAACCATTAATCAAATTAGCAAATAGGTATAAAACTGAAACTTCTGAAATTTTCAAAACAATTATGTGGGCTATTAGTAATTTAGCAAGAGGAAAACCAACCACAAAGATTGTAATTTATTGACTTAAATTATTAGTATTAAAAGGAATTAATATATATTCTTTCAGATATAATTAATAGCATTGAGGATGAAGAATTGTTAATAGATGCTTGTTGGGGTTTGAGTTATTTAAGTGAATAAGAAAGTCAAATAAATACTTTAATTAGTTATGGAGTTGTTGATAAATTAACTTTACTACTACAATCTGAAAAACATTTAATTTTAATCCCTGCTTTGAGAATCATAGGGAATATTTTAACTGGTAACGAGACATAAACAGATCATGTTTTAAACACTGGAGTGTTATCAAGATTTGAAATATTACTTTAACATAAAAATAAAGCAATTCGAAGAGAAGTTAATATTAATTTATATGTAAGGTATGTTGGTCTATATCTAATATTGCAGCCGGTAATGCAGCTTAAGTCAAATAAATTATCAGAAATGAATCAATTTTGAAGTCCCTATTTAAATTATTAGAATAAGATACCCTAGAAATTAAAAAAGAAATAGCTTTTTTTCTGTCTAATTCTGCTATTTATGCAGACTTAGATGACTTAGATTATCTTGTTATGTCTCATTAATTTATTTACAAATTATCTAACCTTTTAGAATTAAGTGATAAAACAGTTATTTAAGTAAGTCTTGAGGGAATTTCAGAATGGATAAAAAGAGGTAATAATTACATTTCATTTAGTAAAAAATGATGAAAAATATTAAATGTACAAAAAATTGATTTTGGATTCTAAACTTATTGAAAAAGTTGAATAACTCTAAAATCATACATCTAAAGTAATTTTTGAGAATGCGTATAAAGTATACGAAATTTTATGTCAGGATCTAGATAATGAATATATTTGAGAAATATAAATATAATTATCTTAAACATTATTTAAATGCTTCTAAATTAGTTCATAATATACATTAAGAATTATAAATAATATATTATTAATCTTATTAAATATTTAAAATTCAGCATGATACAAATTAATTGAATGCCGCAATAAAAATTTCTTTATCCATGCTTTTCTATTTTAATATTACTTTAAAATAAATATAAGATGGAAAATAATATTAAATATTATTTAAGATTTATGATTGATTAAAGAATAATTTGTAATATAAAAAGTAAGAAAAATCATTACTTATTTCTATATAATCTCTATTTTTCTCTTTCCATCAACGCTAAATTAATTTTTGGTATCATTAATTTAAGAATACTGTTTGAAGAATCTAATTACAATTTACTTCTCTTATAATTTAATCAGAAATATTTGAAAAAATTAACAAGAGAATGTTATTTTTTTTAATCCTGTTGGCAATCTTTATCTTAACGGGGTATTTAAAGATAAATACTAAGAACTAAATGATTAATAATTCTTTAATTTTAAAATACTTTAATAGAAATAGTTATAATTTGTTCTTTAACTTAAATCATAAGGATAATTTATTTGATTTTTCAGTTAAAAACTCGCAGATATCGATTTCAGAAATAATCTTCTAATTCTTTTTCAAAATATTTAATAATTATGGATATTCTGAAAATCAAAATTTTATTAATTAATACAAGATGTGGATTATATTGACTATCGTTCAGGTATATTTAAAAAATATAAAATTCACAGATGGTAATCCTTCAATCATTGATTTGAAATTAATCTATTTGAATGAGATCTATTTTCATGAAAAAAAATGATTATTATTAAATCAAATATATATATATAGAAATTTAGATTGTAAAAAATATATTCACACTATCTTATAGCATTTCCATATATTAGCATTGAATTGGTTGACAAATAGAAATCATGATTTTCAAACTAATTTAAACTATTAATATAATACCAACTGTAAGATCTTGTAAAAGTATATGTGTTATTTAAATTAGTACATTTGATAAGTAGACTAAATTTCATTTAAAGATAAATTCTTTTTAAAAACAATTTAAATTAATTGTTATTAATAGCTAATACTAATTAATCATAATAGTATTCTTAAAATCCTCAAAGCTCCTTAGACACTGATAAATATAGTTTTGTATTTTCATTATTGGATAAAGGATAGATAAATGAAATTTCATTCTACTATCTTATTTTGGATAATTAATAATTTTTATTATTAATTTAAGATTTATTAAATAAAATATTTCGATATCCAGATGGGCTCATTATTAGTCGTAGGTCCTTCTGTACACATCTATTAAATTATTTTGTGAAATCACTTTCTCATTGACAGGAAAATCAATAAAAGGCATTCTATAAACAATCAACATTCAATTAATGATGCTTCATATTACTCTTTCAAAACNTAAATCAAATAAACTCAAAAAATAAAAAAAATGATGAATTTTGAATGAATATTCAACTATATTTGAATGAGATCTATTTTCATGAAAAAAAATGATTATTATTAAATCAAATATATATATATAGAAATTTAGATTGTAAAAAATATATTCACACTATCTTATAGCATTTCCATATATTAGCATTGAATTGGTTGACAAATAGAAATCATGATTTTCAAACTAATTTAAACTATTAATATAATACCAACTGTAAGATCTTGTAAAAGTATATGTGTTATTTAAATTAGTACATTTGATAAGTAGACTAAATTTCATTTAAAGATAAATTCTTTTTAAAAACAATTTAAATTAATTGTTATTAATAGCTAATACTAATTAATCATAATAGTATTCTTAAAATCCTCAAAGCTCCTTAGACACTGATAAATATAGTTTTGTATTTTCATTATTGGATAAAGGATAGATAAATGAAATTTCATTCTACTATCTTATTTTGGATAATTAATAATTTTTATTATTAATTTAAGATTTATTAAATAAAATATTTCGATATCCAGATGGGCTCATTATTAGTCGTAGGTCCTTCTGTACACATCTATTAAATTATTTTGTGAAATCACTTTCTCATTGACAGGAAAATCAATAAAAGGCATTCTATAAACAATCAACATTCAATTAATGATGCTTCATATTACTCTTTCAAAACAGAAACCATTAAACTCCACAACTGAATAACATAAATAATCAATTAGATCATAAATTTAACATATTCAAATCCGTATTCACTAATGGGAAGTTGTATAAATCCCAAAAACGACTAATAATATCAATTAATTAACTTTATTTGCTAAACTTCTATTATTAATGTTACATTTTACAGTTAAGTTCTAAATATTTTAATGATTTATAAGCTTGTAAAATTAAAATAAATATATTTAAAAGGAGCAATTTTATTGAACGAAAAAGTTAACAAAAATTGATTATTTTCAAAGTTTCCTAATAAAATAATAAATTTTTATAATTATAATATCAATTAAGAATTTAATCAAATATTTATTAAAATATTTGATACTAAAAATAAAATTATTGTTTAGAATTAAGAAATGAAAAACTTCTTTAATTAAAAGATGCTAGGTTACTAGATATAAATTATGTAGATAACTATATTTTATTAATTTTAATTATCTTTCATTAAAATAATCATTAAAATTAAAAATTTTGTTTTAACAGGTAATTAATTTAAGATGATAGATAAATTTAAAAATCAGAATAATATTAAAAAATATTTGAAATTGAAATTTTAAATAAATGGAAGTGTTAAATAATAATTCAATTATAAATTATGGGTTATTGAGAATTAAAGAATAGATATTATACAACAAAATTGTAAGAGCATACTCCTCTTTCATCTTACTGGAGCTTTGAAAGAAAATAACAATAATCAGAATAAAATATAAGGTATATCGTTTAAAGGACATTTGAATACAGCAATTAGTTACTTAGACTACTTTTTTCAAACACACACTGAATTTACTAATTTAATCAAATTTTATATGTATTATTGATTTCTTAATTATTTTATTGATATAATCGATAATATAAATAATAAACAATTCAGCAGATCATTAAAACTTTATCTTTATTTTTACAAAACACAATTCAATCAATCCAAATATCAAACTAAAGATCTATAATTAATTAGTTAATTTTCTTAACTTTATTAATAAATCATTTAATCCTTTGTCAATTTCATGGATAATTAATTTTACTAAGCCTAAGATAAGTTGCAATATTTTCAGTTATGAACGTTGGTTTAAATTGAATTACATGATAATAATCTTTAAAAGCTTCTTATTAATCACTAATGATTTGATATCAAAAGCTTAATATTTAATATAATAATTATTTTATTCTAGAGGTTTAAACAATATTTAGATTGATTTTAATGGCCTATTGAAATTTCTTAGAACTTATTTAATATTTTGACCTTCTCATTAAAGCAAACCTTTTTAGATTAACTATTAGTTTAGTTTATCTAAAAGCAAAAATGAACAATTAAATCATATTAAAATAATAGAATAATTTAGTGAATAATATGTGTTCGAATTAAAGATCAGAAAGGATTAAGCTTGAGGATTTCTAATAGTGAGTTATAAATTTAAACATAAAATAATTATTAATAAATTAATTTAAAAAGTAAAAATAAAAATACCACCCCGAAGACTTGAACTCGGAACTTTTCCTTAAAAGGGAAACGCTTTACCTCTAAGCTATATGATATAATTATTTAATTTATTAACAGGAAATTTAATAATTATTATAAGATGATCTATTTATATATCGAAAATAATAATAAGTAGTTTGATAGTTAATAAATTCTAATACCTAAAATTAAATTAACATCAGAATTTATTTATGATTGATTTAATACTAAATATTGATTTTTGAAATATATATTTAATATATTTTATTTTTTTAATGATTTTGTGTTGAAATAAAATGTTTATTCAAATTAAAGTATTAATTTTTTGTAATTATTTATTACTAGAATTAATATATCAGATTATAAATCAATAAGAATTCTAATTGCTGAATTAATAAGATGATTCATTCTTTTTGCACAAATCAAAAAAATAAATCTGCTTCAAATTTAAAGTCTTTAGAATAAATAGCCAATAATGATATAACTAAAATAAACAATTATGTATATATATTCTGTAATTTAATGTTGTTAATAGATCTATTTTCTACATTTTTTTTGTATAAACTACAAATTTCTCCATCATCTTTTTCTATTTACTGGTTTAAAAATGATTGACTTATTAAGTGGATACTTGTATTTTAGTTTGTAAATATCATAATTTAAACCTTATACTTTCTATCAGTATATCTGAAAACTTTCTCAGTACATTTAAGCAATCTATAACTTTTAATCATTGATCGTTTCTCTTAAATTTTCTTTTAGATGCTTTGCCTAAAGGAATGAAAATAGTTTCATTCATAAAATTCTTCACTATTAGTTCAAAGCAAATTTTAGTAAATGAAATTACTGATATATGGTATCTAGTTCTATATATGCGTATCATTATGTCTTATATAATAATAGTAAGAATAATAAATTAAAAAGAGATTCTTTATTCATTTTAAGTATAATTAAGTTTCCTTTTAAGCTGTATATAAAGGAAATTTATCTTAATTGCTAAATTAATATTAAATGAAAGCAATAAATTAAACTAATATATTAAATGATTTATGAAATTAGAATAATTCAGTTATTTAATTTTCTACTTTGGTTTAACAAGTATATCAAGCTTGATTTTTAAAAATGAAACAAAAAATCTAAATTGATATAAAAATTAATCAGGAAAATTCTAAATAACATGTCTTTACTCCTAATGAATATATCAATTGAATATTGTCAATAATATATTAGTGTTATGAATAATTATCTAATTTTTAAAATAATTCCTGATAGTTATACTGACTTTCTTGATAAAATAAAATTCGATTAAATCTCAGAAATCACTTGATAACATCTTCTAATTTTTGTTTAATATAAAGTCCGATATTTTATAACAAATTTTCCTTTTACTTTTTTGATTATAAATCTATTAAAACCAAAAAAATTATGAAATAGAAGAAGGGTCTTGAGAAAGATAGAAAAAGTATAAATATTTCATAAAAAATTTGATAGATCATTTATATAAACTAAAAATTACAATTATAATTAATAGAAACTTTAAATTGAAAAAATCGAATATTTACTTATCAATAAAGCTCAGTTTCAAAAATGAATATGATATTCAGAAATTATTAGGTTTTTTATTTAAGAATAATAACGTAGTAAAAATACAATTTTAAATTAGATATCAATCTATTTTGTGATGATCTTCAATAAAAGAGGATCACACTACAAGATTTAGATTGGTAAAAGATGAGTTCAAAACTTTTAGCTAGTGTAGCTAATTTATACTATTTGGATATTTCCCCTTCATTAGATTATATAGCATTTTAATATTGTCAAGGAAGAAATCAAACTGAATTTCCAACAGATGAATGAAAAAGTAGATTTTATTTATAAATATATAATTCCTAAAGCGAAGCATTAATGTATCCATCTAGTGATCTATGTTGAAACTAAGCACTATTCAGAAATAATATGAACTTAAAGTTGATTAAAAGATTATCAAAATGAAATTTCAATGGTAAAATATTTATCAAAAGAATAAATATTAGACATAGTTTAAGAATTAAGCTCTATCTATCAAGCAAGGATATCTAAAGAATAAAATTAAAAAAATAATAGTGTTGATCAAAATCATCCTATTGCTCTCTTTTTTCTAGTGGTTATTCAAATATTTGATTATTAAAAAATTAATATAAAATGTGTTTATGATATAAAATTATACAATCATTTATGTAATAAAGTATTAGTTAAGGGTTAAAAAAATTGATGTTTGATCAATCACAGCTATGAGAGCGAGATAATTTTGGCCTTAATCAAGAGTGAGAAGTTAAGAAATAGTTATCCTTCCTACCAATCAAATAAAAAGAAAAAGATTTTTATAATATTATAAAGAAAATGTTAATATTTATAATATTAAATTATTTAATTTTTTTATTTATATCATATTAATATTAACCCACTTTTATTTAATCATGTCTTAAATAATTAGATTATTAAAATTTTCTCAAATTCTTTCTCTTTTTTAAGACTCCTTATTTTTTTATCAAAAAGTGGATTAATTAATTATAATAAAAAATTAGGAATTAATTTATAATTTTCTATAAATGTTATAGATTTTGAATTTTAAGACATTTTATTATGATATGTTGAATTAATCATTTTATTTATATTATCCCTAGAACTTAATGATTGAATTTTTGTATTTTAGATTATGAATACTTTTAGAAGTGAAATCAATAGAATTTTTTATTTTATTTATTTCTAACAACAATCTAAGAATGTTCTGGAAATATAATTAATTTTATGTCTGATTAATTCCTTTTTTTTGGTCTAATATATATAGATAAATAACATTCATTGGATGATTTATTGTATTCTGATTACTTTCCAAATTGTATTCCTTGTTCAAAAGATCTTTATTTGTGTACTTTTTTCAATGTTATTTTTGGTGTTGCAATATTAGAAAAAATTTTAAATACATCATGAACTGCCTTATGCTTCTTCATCTGATAATACAACATTATTGCTATTGTGAACCAATGTGAATATGCTTATAAAAATCTTTTATAGTTTTATAATCAATGTATATTTAACCAAGTCTGGATTTACCCGATTTTTTTGATTCTCCGAGCTAATACTCTTAAAACCATTTTATCAAGAGCAAACAATTAAGAAAATACCTAATGGGATTTTATTTTTCTTCTCTTTTCTTAGATTATATATATTACATTCTTGAACCATAATTATTGTTTTTTTGAATAATTAGTATATACATCTATTCTATGTCTTTAGATCCAGAATCACATAATCAACAACTTATTAGGCAAAAAATCATGGATAGAAAAACAGAGGAAATCCAAAAAGCCTAAATTTTTGTTGTAATTTTAAATAATTAAAAATTAATCTTCAGAGATGACTTATGCCTAAAAATTATCATTCTTAGACATTTTTGAAGTAAAGATGAGAAGTGTTTGTGAAAAATTCTATACAATAAAAATAATAATGATGTTAATTGAATTATCAAATAAATTTAGATCTGGAATCAAGAAACAAAATATTGCATAGTTAATAATTTAAAAAAAATTAATTTTTGATCTATTTAAATATCATATTAATAAAATCTATCTTATTAATACTTTTAATGAAAAATTTAATTCTGATTTGCTTGTTAGCTATGGTCTTAACATAGCAAGTTTAACACTCAAATAAATGTAATGATTGTGGATAATTAAAATCACAAAATGATTGTGAATAAGAGATAACTGTAACAGGAACTTGTGAATGGATAGCTGCATCAGGAACAACACCAGCAAAATGTTAGAAAAAGACAACAGTTGATCCAGTAAGTTCATTCAAACCTTATTGCGAACTTATTGAAAAACCAGAAACAAACTGTGCTAAAACATTAGGTTGTGCTTATGTTGACTTAAAATGCACACATTTTACAGGATGTCAAGCATATGTTAAAACTACAACAACAGATTGTTAAGCTATATCCTATTTTTGTGTCAGTGATGGAAATGCATGTATTCAAGCTAAAGAATGCAAAGAATATACATAATAACAATGTGAATCAACTCCAAGTGTTTCAGGAATACTTAAATGTAAATGGGATACAAATTCAGGAGCTTGTAGAGATTATGCATGTTCAGAAGCAGATACTAGTTTAAATACTGATGAAAAATGTTCAGCTTGGTTAGCTGGTTGTGTAACAAAAGGTTAAGGTTGTGTTAATGCACCAAGACCTGCATGTGCTACTTATACAGGAGATGATGCTGCATGTTAATCTTTTATTGGATCAGATGGAAATTGTGAATTAGCAACTGGTACAACAAATTGTAAGGCCAAAGAATGTGTTAATGCTCCAACATCATTAAGTACTGATGATGATTGTAAAGCATATTAAAAAGGATGTATAACAACTGGAAAAGGTTGTGTTTTAGCAACAACAAAACCATTATGTTCCACATATTCAGGAGATAACACTACTTGTGTTGGATTTATTGGATCAGATGGAGTTTGCGAAGGTGATGCTGGTGGTTCTAAATGTAGAGCCAGAAAATGTGAAAATGGAGCATTCAATACTGATGAACTTTGTAAATAATATTAAAGTACTTGTAAAACAAATGGCAAAACATGTGTTTCAGCATTAACAGCTTGTAATACATATAAAGGTACTGCCACTACTTGTGCTGTATATATTGGTACTGATGGATATTGCAAAGGAACAAGTACAACAACTGAAGCTTCTTGCTTACCTAAGGTTTGTGATGAAGCTCCAGATACAACAACTACTGATGATGCTTGTAATAAATATTAAATTGGATGTGTTACTACAGGAAAAGGATGTGTTACAAAAACTAATTTGAAATCTTGTACTACTTACGATGGTGATGCTACTAGTTGTTAATCAAGAGTTGGATCTGAAGGTAAATGTACATGGAAGACTGGAACCAAATGTGTTGCTAGAGATTGTACTTAAGCAGCAACCAATTTAAATACTAATCCTCTTTGTGCCAATTTTTTCACTAATTGTGTTACTACTGGATCTGGATGTGTTTCATAAACTTCTTGTGATTTGACTGTCAAATAATAAAGTTGTGAAGGTACTAATAATTGTTCATGGTAACCTATTTGTACTAGTAATTCAAACTGTAGTGCATTTACAAAAAAATCAATTTGTGTATCAAATTAAGCTAGAGTAAGGACTTTTGATAAATATGATGAAAATGGAAATCCAATTTATATTTTTGTATCAAAAAAATGTGGTTGGTTAAATAATGTTTGTAAGGAATTGTCTTGCTCAGATTTAACAGGAGCTTATTATAATACTGATGCTAATTGTGCAGCAGAACTATCAACATGCATTAGTAATAGAGTTGATGCTTGTATAACTAAATATGAATGTAGTAAACTTTCAGGAACATAATCCACTTGTTTAAGTTATCCAGGTTATTGTACTAATTCATCAACAGCTACTGATACTACTCCTTGTGTATAAAGAAAGTGTACAGATAATACAGAAGCAACTGATAATGCTACATGTGCTTCATTCTTACCTGGATGTATTAGTAATGGAAAAGGTTGTGTTGATTATACTACTCCATGTACATCAATGAAAGGAACTTAAGAAACATGTAATAAGATATTTGCTTATAAGACTGGATCTATTGATAACTTTACAACTAATTAATGTTACAATAGTTCAACAGCCACTGAAAATGATTTTTGTAAAATCAAAACCTGCAAATTAGCAGAAAATTAAAATGATGGTACATGTGGTTCATTTTTAGATGGATGTGTCTATAATGGAAATGGAGGATGTGTTGATCCAAAAGCTAATGACACAACTTGTGCAAGTTATACAGGTGTTTTAGCATTTTGTGAATCTGCTATTGTTGGAAGTAATAGTTCTAAATATTGTTTTGGAACATCTACATCAGCTACATGTACTGTTAGAGCTTGTATTGATAATACAACTGCAACAAAAGATGAAGATTGTGAGTCTTTCATGTCAGGATGTATAGCTAAATCTGATGGAGGTTGTATTAGTAGACAATTAAGATCATGTTCTTAATAATTAGGAACTGTTACTACTTGTCCTAATTTTAGTGGTGGTTTATAAGTCTCATCAGTTTGGACCAAAGTTCCATGCACAAAATATGATGCTTGCTAAGATAGATTATGCTCAGATAAAACAAGTCCTTAATCAGCTTAAGATTGTCTTGATCATAAATCTACTTGTAGATTCTTTAAGGCTGGATCTACATGCATTGATGCAACAGCTTGTAGTAATTATAGTCTGCCTGATACTGCAACTACTGATTAATAAAAGTTTGATTATTGTACAAGTATTAAAGATAACGTTGGGTTATTATGTGGTTATACATCAGGAGCAACTAAATGTTCAGCTAGAACATGTGAATAATTCTTAAGCACTTATACTTCATTATCATGCATTACTTATTTATAGAAGGATATCTCTACTTCAACTGATGATACTTGTAAATTAGCAGGAACTATATGTTATTTACCAAATAAAACCGATTGTGCATATAGTTATACTTCTACTGATACTACTGATGCTCTTAAATTAGCTTAATGTAGAAGATTTGTAAATAATAAAGGATTTGCATGTACATTCAAAACAGGTGAAACTAAATGTAGTTTATAAGATAGTTGTGAAAAATTAAATATTTAAACAGATACATAAACCTGTAACGATTCAACTCTTTTTCCAACTAAAGGAGTATGTTAAAAAGTAACAGATTCAAATTGTCTCACTATATCAGAAACTTGTAGTGATTACAAAATAGATTCTACTTTGACTACAATTAAAAAATAAGAAGTATGTTGGGAATTGAAGTTGATTAAAGATGTATCAAAATTAGGAACCCCATAAGCATAATATACCAAATGTATTTATAAGACAGGAAGTGCATGCGATGCTATTTCTGCTTGCTCAGATATTATTTCAGCTTCAAGTTAAGAATAATGTGAATTTTATTTATCGGGATGCTTATATTTTAATGGTAAGTGTTATGCTAAAGTTGCTACTGGTAATTGTCCCTCAACATTCCCAGCTGGAATCACAACAGATACTTAAAAATCTCTATATTGTAGAAGTATTAAGGAAGACAGTCTACATTGTAGATTAAAATCTGATAAAACTAGATGTGAACTTGCAGATAATGCTGATTGTGGTATAACAATTCCTACTTCAGGCAGTTGGGATTCTATTAGTGATTCAACTTCAAATGCATTCAAATCTGCATTTTGTCTAGCTTAATCATACAAAGATAGAACCAAATTCTGTAAATTTACTTCTGGAACAACTTGTAGTGATGCAACATGTGCAGATATCCCATCACCAACTAGTTAAGGAGATTGTGATAATTACATAAATGGATGTTTTTACTTTAATAATATATGTTATGAAAAAGTGATTATCGAAAATGTTGGTAATTGTGCTGATAATGATATAGTACCTATGGATTCAGAATTAACACCAGCATAAAAAGTAATATATTGCTAATTCTTTACTACATATAGTAAAGATAACTATTGTACATTTGATTAATATAATCCAACTCCTCCAACTTAATGCACTGCTGGTGGTACTTGTGATTCCTATGAAAATTTGCCAAACACTAATGATACTGATAATTTAAATTATTGTTTAAGTAAAGTTAGTATTACTAATTCAAAATGCACTTACACACCTGGTGAAACCACATGTAGAATTTTTGAATGCTATGATATACAAAATCCAACCTCTTAAATGGATTGTGATTAATAAGCAAATATGTTTTAATGTGTATATCTCTTAGGAACATGTTATAATAAGAATGAAACTTGTGATAAGATCCCTGCTTAAAATGGAAATGAGAAGGTATATTGTGATCGAGTCCAATCTGCTGCTCAATGTACTTATATATCAGGAACAACATGTGCAGCACAAAAGCAGTGTGAATAATATAGTGTAACTGATAATTAAGCATCAATTTGTGCAACATTGACAGATGGAAAAAGTAAATGTACATATGTTTCTGGTAATAATTGTGTCACGTTAAGTACTTGCGAAAATTATGATGGAAGAGCTGAACCTGAATTAGGACCTGCAGAAGGTACAGAAGAGACATAGTGTAAAGCAGTTAAATCAACCGATGGCTATCCATGTATTATGGATTCTGCTAAAAAATGCAGAGCATAAATTTGTATTGATAATGATGCAAGTGCAACAGATTGTATAAATAATGCTCCAAATTGTCTCTATTATTCCAATAAATGCATAACAAAGGACAATTGTGCAAAATATACACCATAAGGTGATGATGATGCAGCTAAATAAATATGGTGTGAAGGAGTATAGAATGATACAGGAGATTTTTGTGCTTGGGATTCAGCTAATTCAAAATGTAGAGACAGATCATGTAGTGATAAGGCATTCTATACAGATATTGATTGTTAAAGTTATCTTAAATCTTGTAAAACAAATGGTACTATATGTGTTTCATAGACTAGAGCATGTACATCAAACAATGGTTCAGCTGATTTTTGTAATACCTTATTAGATTCAACAGGAAAAGATAGATGTAGACCTATTTTAACTGCTACTACTACACCCTCACCCTGCACAATTAGAACATGTTATGACAATCTTACTGCAACAACTGATTCTGAATGTGATACTTATTTAAGTGGATGTGTCACTCGTGGTACAGGATGTATTCCAAATACAGAGCCATGCACATCATATAGAGGAACTAAATAATAATGTGAATTATTTAAAAAATATACTGGATTAGATGATAAGAAAAATCCTACTTATGAATAATGTTCTGGAGATGCTGGAAATACAGCCGCAAGTAAATGTAAAGTAAGAACTTGTGCAGATAATACTACAGCTACATCTGATGCTGAATGTGCTACTTATATGAAAGGATGTATAACCAAAGGTACAGGATGTGTTGATGAAACTTCATCATGTACTGCATTTAAGGGAGATTAAGCAACTTGTGCTAAATTCTTGGGTACTTCAGGTAGAGATTATTGTTGGAATACTTCAACTGCATTGGTTACAGCCAATTGTACTAAAAAGAAGTGCAGTGATATTTCAGGTAAAAACAATAAAGAATGTAATGATGGTATGCCACCTTTTAAAACTACTGATGATCCATTCTGTGTTTTTGATGGAACATCATGTATTGATTATGGAAAGAATTGTAATGCATTTAATGGAACTGAAGAGACTTGCCCTACTTATTTAGGTAGAGATGGTCCATGTAAAGCTACAACTGTTGGAACTCTTAAAGGATCATGTGCTAAGAGAGTATGTACAGAAGCACCAAATACTCTTACAACTGATGCTGATTGTTAGAAATATCATAAAGATTGTTATACAACTGGTTATGGATGTACAAGCACTAAATAATGTTTCAATTTGACATCATAAGCTGCTTGTAAATTAAGAGAAGAATGCACATGGGCTAATTAATGTACTAATGCTATTACTGCATGTTCTACTTATAGTAACACTAATTATTCATAATGCTCAAATTCTAAAGTGAATGGTAAGTTCTGTGCTTGGTAAGAATCAAATTCAACTTGTAGAGCTTAAGTATGTGAAGATCAACCAGCAACAATTGCTTCTCATGCTTAATGTTAAAGCTTTGCTGACAATTGTACAACAACAGGGGCTGGTTGTATAACTATTTCAGCATGCACATCATACAAGACTCAATCTGTTTGTATAGCTGCCTCAACAACTAAAGATGGAGTTGGAAGATGTGGTTGGGATGTCACAACAAATAAGTGCAGAAATAGAATTTGCAGTGATAAGAATGGTTTAACTGATGAAGAATGTAATACTTTCCTATCAGGATGTAAAACTAATGGATCTGGTTGTGTGACTGGAGCCTCATGTACTGAATTTTCCAATAAATAATTCTGTATTAAATCCAACTCTGGACCATGTCTTTGGGTTAATGGATAATGTTATGATTATGACAGATGTGAAGATGCTGTAAAAAAGACTCATACTGAATGCTAAGCATTCTCACCATTATGTACAACCAATGGAGATACATGCATTCCAATTACATCTTGTGCTAGCACATCATTAAAGGCTTCATGTGTTGTGGGATCTGATGGAGCTTGTGGATGGTTACCTACAGGAAAATGTTAGAAGTTTGGATAATGTACAGATGCTGTGGCAACTACAAATGATGAATGTCTCTCTTATGGTCCAACATGTATTACTGATGGAACAGCATGTATAGCTAAATCAACTTGTAATAGTTACAAAACATAAACAGCATGTAATAACAATGGAACTGATGGTATATGCTTTTGGAATGCTACAGCTAATACTTGCAAATTGAGGGAATGTGGTGATGAATAAAAGGGTACAAATGACTAATGTAAGCTTATTTCTGTCACAGGAGGATCATGCACAACTGATGGAACCAAATGCATACCCTTATCAACATGCTCAAGTTATGTTGAAGCTGGATGCTTCAATGGAACTGATGGAGAATGTACATTTGCATTACCAGTTGGAGCTACTACAGGAAACAAAATCTGCAGATTAAAATAATGTGAAGATATTTCTGGTGGAACTTCAAATGCTAGCTGCATGGGAGTTATTTCTGGAAAGTAATGTGTATCAAATGGAGTAAGTTGTATTGCCAAGTCTACTTGTTCAACTTATAAAACTATTACTGCTTGTAATGGAGGTGGTTTAGAAAATAGTAAATAAATTGTTTGTGCTTTCACTCCTACTGGAACTGATAAAGTTAATGGAACTTGCAAGACATTCTCAGCATGCGCTGATGCTAACAAAGATAAATTGGCATGCACAACTAATCCATCATGTAAATGGAATGAAAACTCAACAGGAACATCCTGTGTTAATCATACATGTGATACCTTTGCCACAGGAACTGATTGTCAACCAATTCCAAGCTTTGATGGAGCTTCATCCACTGTTTGTGTTCTTTAAAGTGGAAAATGTGCAGCTGCTGATCCAGGAACCATGACAGATTCCAAGATTTGCTACACTAAATCAGCTTACACTTATAGTTGGAATGCTTCTACTAATAAATGTGAAAGTTGCCTTTTAGGATCTGTCAATCCAAACAATTCAAATAATACAAACAATTAAACAGATAATGGATCCACTACCGATAGTTCTTACATCTTATCAGTTGTTTCATTAGGTATTTTGGGATTAATGGCATGATTTTGATTTTCATATAATATATAGGGAAAAATTAATATTACAAATTATTTTCATATCTTAAAGGTTTATCTGAAGAAATAATTATCTGATAAACAATTATTATAGTTTATTTTAAACATCATTAAGGAATTTTTGATATTAAAGAATAAATATCATAAACAATAAATTTATTCCGAAAATTGATAGTATAAATTCTTTACTATGAGTCTGTATGATATATTTTTTAAATTATCTAAATATTAATTTCGAAATGCTTAAAAATAAACCAAACCTTTTTTAAGTTAATTAAGTTATATTATGTATTTTAAAATATCATTTCATATTATTATTATTATTTGAATAATAATACAGTGTTATTTCTTTTTGACTATACGGTCCTTAAAGATTAATGAGGTAGACACTTGCTTAATCCTTGCGAAAATGGCGAAGGGCATTTTCCCATCCTAGGACGACTTGATAGAAGGAGCAAATAACAATTCCTTTACTCCAGTTTTATTTGTGCTCTCTTTCTTGATTGTTTAAGGAAAACATATATTTGCAAAATAATATGCTAAATAGATCTACTTCATATTGTTATTCTACAGGGAATATCCGTGTTTAGTAATTGGTAAAACAGGTGAACATAACTACTTTCCAGGAGTCATTCTTGATTATCCTATAGGTAACTGTCTGCTAGTAAGAAGTTTTCAATTATATCGATGTTCTAGTTTTAATTGTATCTTTCATATTTTTTGATAACCGTTTCATTTGTTAGTAGGTCAAAAGGCATCCACATATTTTTTGCCTAAATAAATTATCCATCATATCTTAACCATCTAGCGAAATTATCCTACATAAGGGGT